GCTCAGAAAAAATCTTTTATTTATTATTTAATTGTATTTAACCAAAATATTTTTTTTACCAAATGTAATTACTGTTTATAAATTTAGGAAAATAAGTTATTTTATTTAAATGAAAATAAAAAAATTTATACTAAATGTTTCTTTTCAAAAGATGATCAGAGATATTTTACTCTTAAAATTTAAGTTTTTGAAATAAATCAAATATTTTTTATTAATTTAAATTTAAAAGTAATCAAAATTATTTTTCACAAATATAAAATATAGATTAAATAAAATATAATATATATAAATAATAAAAATGTTTATATTCATTAATATAAAAAAATTATGTAAAAACTCATTCGTTTTTTATTTAAATAAAAAACTTTATTCCTTTTAAATTGAAAACACTAAATTATTTTTAAGTATATTAATGGCAAAAAAATATTTGACAGAAAGAGAGTAGTAAATTTTACATATTTTTAGTTTAACTTTTGGTATTATTTTATATTTGCTCATACATAAATCAAAATAAAATATTATTATTATTTTAAATATTTATTTTTGGGCAGCCTAAAGAATTTCTTTAGAAATTATTAATTTAATTCTTTACCTAAAAATATTATTAATTGTTTAGAGATATTAGATATTTTGACCTATAATAATAATTATGGTATTTTAATTAATTTAAGCAAGCATTTAAATCTTTTAAATATATCATAATTTTAAAGATGCTTTCACTAATCTTTTAAATTTGAGAATTTTTCTTTTTAATTTCTGCAATTCAATTCGATCAAGCTGATTGAAACTTTAATTTATTTAATGTTTTTTGTTAATGTAAAATAAGAAATACAATTAAATATTAAAAATTTATAAAAAGAAAATCGAAATAATTTATTAATAATAACTAATAAATAATGAAATAATTAATCAATAAATAAAGTAATTAGAATTGAATAAATTTAAAAGCTTTTTCTTATTTTCTTAAATTTAAGTGATATATACTTATTAAATAATTAAAAAAATTTTTTTTTTTAAATTAATACAATATTTCCAGTGACAAAATTGTGAGGTTTTTACAATTAAGTAAGTCATTCACCAATAATTGTAGTGCTTAAAACCCTAAATTGTTATTGCTATTTATAATATTTTAGTTTTAAATAAATATCCATCAAAAATATAAAGAAATAACATTATTTAATTTTATTAAAAATCATTAGTATTATAAAATTTAAAATAAAAAATATTATTACAAGAGATCAATTACCAAAGTTTTAAGCTTATTAAAATTTAATAAAGCAGAACCTAAACTTATAACTCCTGCCATTCCAATTTTATTATCACTTTTAGTATAGAAAAAATCAGATAAATTAAAAGTTTAATTTTAATAAAAAATAAAATTAAATAATAAAGAGGGTTTTTTGAGTAACAAATGATCAGTAAGTACCCTTTAAAATTAAGGTGATAAAAAAGTATTCGAGGATAGCTATTTTATTATATAAAAAATACCTCGAGTTAATTAAATATAATATAGTAAAAAAATATAATAATAAAGAAATATTATATTAATACTAAAGGTCAAGTGTCAGAGTAGATAGATTAGTACAGCTTGTTAAAGCAAAAGCTAATTCAATAGTACCCTATTCTCCAATTTAATTATCTCTTTTAAAATATTAAAATATAATATTTATTTTGTTCCTTTAAAAAAAAAGGAAGAAACAAAAAATAAACAAATTAAATAGAGTAAGAAAAAATAAATAAATTCATATAAAATATGAATTTTTAAAATATAGATAATAACAAATAAACTATATTTACCCTAACCAAAGTTTTAAAGTTGATAAAATTGAGATTTTTGCTAAAGATGAAGCTAATCCAGATGCTCCTTTTGGTCCTATGGAATTTAATCTATCAATTTTTCACATTAATTGAGTAAGTTATATCAAATAAATAAGAGAAAGAATAAAATTAATAAAAATAATAAAATTATAGTTTTATTAATTTTTCACATAAAACCAAACAATAGCCTTTTATTTAATAAAAATAAAACCATTTTTACCCTAATTGAAGAATTAAACTTTATAATCTAGCATTGTTGGATAAGCCTTAGACTAGTTCAGATGCACCGTTATCTCCTATTTGGTTCTACCTTTTATAATATTTAACACAAATCTTAAAATTTAATAGTAAAATTATGAAATAAAGTATCATAATCATCTACTAATTGAGTAAATAAAAGCTATCAAATATAAAAAGGAGAATAATTTGATTTTATAAAATTATTTTTATCCAAAATGTAATTCAGATTGCTTAATCTAATATTTTACCTAAGGTTAACTGATAAAACTGAGATATTAATACATTTTGATAAAGCAGATCCTAAATTTGATGCACCCTGAGCCCCAATTTAATTACTTCTTTTAAAATATTAAATATTTTTTTGCTCAATTTTTTTTCTACTATGCATTCATGTGTGATGATTAAAATTAATTAAAAATTACACATAATTTTATACTTCAAATAAAATGAAAAACTCAATTTGTTTTAATCAATAAAAAAAACTAGTTTTTACCTGAGGTTTAGTGTTAATGATGAGAGAAAAGAACAATTTACTAATGTAGAACATAAATGTAGTATTCCTTATTCTCCAATTGAGTTAAACCTTTTAAAATATAAAATATTTTAAATAAATTTTTATTATAATTAAAAAAATAAATTGACAAAAGAATTAATAACTAACTAACTTAAATATTTTTACTAAAGATCAAGTGTTAAATTCTCAAGATTAGAGCACTTTGTTATTGTAGAACTCAAGTTCAGTGTACCTTTAGCTCCAATTTATTTGTTACTATAAATAAATTAGTTATTATTTTTTTACATAAAATAAATTAGTATTAATTTTTTACTTAAAAATAGATGCTAATAAAATATAAAAATGTGAATATTTATAATTAATATTTAAGCCATATTTTATTTCAATATTGATATTAGATAAATAACAAATTAGCTTAAAAATTATTTAAAGTTAATGAAATAAAAGTGATTAATTTATACTTGAGATCCAATTAGAGATTAGTATGAGATTAAAGAGAAGAGTTAATAAACTTTTTTAATGAAAAAATAATTTAAACTAAATATTAAAGTGATATTAATTAATTAACATCTTCAAAACTATTAAATAGTTATTTCTACTAAATCATTTATTTTGTTTTCAAGATTTATTAAATGCCTTATTAAATTTTTATTAGATTACCAAATTATATAAAATACAAATAAATAATTTAGCTTTAATAATTAACTTTTTATATTATAGTTACTTAATAAAATTCAAATAAGATTAGGATATAATTATGAATTAAAAAATATTTGTAGTTAATTAGAAACTTAAAAAATAAAAGAGAAATTATTCAAAAAATGAAATTAATAATATAAATATATAATTTAAAAAGCAACAATATAAAATTTTAGATTGTAACAACTTTTATTATTTATTGAAATTTTTTAATAAATATTCTTTTGTAATTAATTTAAGGAGAGTTTTAATTTTTTATAAGAGATGACAGTATATAAAATTTGTTTAATAAAATAAATACAAAAATAGTGTTTGTTTTTGGATTAATAATTAAATTGTGTATTTTAAGATTTGAAAGTAGAAGAGGAGGGAGGAGTAGGTGAAGAATATAAGAGCAATAAGATTTTATAAGCTGTTTTTAAGTCATATTTTTATCATATTGAAATTAACTACAAAATTATTTTTTTAAAGTATATTTATTAGCATTCATTTCAGCTTTAGATTTTAATTTATCTTTATTTAAAGCTCAAAATAAAATATTTTGTTGTTTTTAAAGTTAGAATTTTATTATAAGATGTAATTCAAAGCACAGTTATATCGCTCATAAAGTTAACTTCAGCAATTCTATCTAAAGCTTTTTTGTATAAATTAATATCTTTTAAGAAATATGGAATTTTTATCTTCTCAGTGTTAATTAAATTCTTTTCAGTTAATTTTATACAATCTTTTACAGTTATTTTTCCAGAATGAAGTTTAACTAAATCTATTTTGTTTCTATATTTTAAAACTCTTCTGATTCCAATTAAATAAATCTGATCTTTATACATTCCTAAATGTTAAGAGGTATCAGAAATACCTCTTTTCACCCTCAAGCATTCTCTCCATCTTTTGTCGGGATCTTTAACATATTTTTCTAAGTCATTGAACAGTTCTAAAAAATTAAATTTGTTAATTAATTTGAAAATGTTCATAAAATTATACCTGAAAAAGACATTTAACTGCTTTTTACAGAAGCATAATAATGTAAAGCAGCATTAAATACAAACGGCTTCTGAGATTAATTTAACGCTAAATCATATTTTTGATTTACTAAAGCCAAACCCTCTTCAACCTTAGATGAAGGCTCTAATCCAAATTTCTTTCTTTGCTTTTATTTATTTAATTTAAAATTAAAAAACTATTTATTTTTTATAAATAATTATTTAATTCAAAATTTCGTATAATTTAATTTCAAAAAAGTTTTGATTAACAAAAACCTTGTTGAATAGTTTAAAATGCTAAAATTAAATCCACTAGAAAAATATTCAAGGTTGAATAATATTTTTACATTAAATAATAATATAGAATAATCTTTTACCTTGAACCATACTTATTATCTTTCATTGTGCTTTCTGAGAAAATGTGTTCCTATTTCATGATTTAAAACTCCTTATATTCTAAGTTCTCTATAAAGAATTGGTAATCCAATGATAATTTTGCTTGTTCCATCCTAATTCCCAAAAAATAATTTAATTATGATAAATTTTATTTTAATCTCAAAAATGCTCAAATTAAATTAATAGAAATGATTTTATTTAAATTACAAAATTAAATATTTATAACTTAAATAACTTAATAAAAAATCCTTAGCTGAAGCTTTTTATTTGATAGTCTCATACTAAATGCTAAATAATTAAATTATAATAAAAGGGCTACTTTGTTATGCTAGCAGCATGTTGGAGAAATTGTATTTGACTGGAACTCATATGTTACTAAGTCTTCGCACTCTAGGTCTTTAATAAAATTAATATTAAATCAGTGTTTATTAATTTTATTTAAAAAAAGCTTGTAAGAATATTCTTTTATATTTAATTTGTTCTACTTAATTTATTTATTTATTTATTCTATTAAGCTTTTCTATTTCAAAATCTATTCATTTTATATTGCTTTTTTTGATACACTTTCAATTTTTCAGTTTGAGAAAAAGGTTTATGAGTGTGTATCTATTAATAGAAAATCAATATTCTGATTTGAAAAATAGCTTTTTTGAATTTATAATTAATTTTTCTACCTTTAACATACTTTTCGAAAAAGGATGTTGTTGTGGGAATGTCAATAATCTATCCTCCTTCTTCTTCATTAAATTTATGTTCAGAGCCATAAATTTTGATTACTTCATTTAATATCTTCAAAGCCAGATCAAAATATTTGGTGTGAGGAACTGAGTAGTTTAAATTTATATCAGAAAGCTAGTACAAGAAATTCGGATTATAAGTAAAGTTGCTTTTGAAAAAAAGTTCTTTTTCCTTTTCTAAATTGAGTGGTTTAAGATCTTTTAATGCAGTCTTTTTATCCTTTTTTGCTTTTTTGTCTTTCGTTGCGTTCTGCTGACAATTATTTTCTTTGTTTTAGGTATTTAAACAAACATTCACTTCTGTGAAAGAAGATAAATTCTTCATATTTTTGCCATTATCAATTAAGCAATCTGCTTTTGAAGATGCTGAAGACAAATTATTGGAACTTAATTTTTAAACTGGCTTTTAAAGCACAACCGCAATGCCAGAGGCCATTAAACTGCTTTTATTTTTTAATTGATTAACAACATTTTTCTTAATTTTCGCTAATTCTTTTTGATTCAATGATTTTTGAGGAGATGGTGTAGCTAATGCAGCATATGTATTAATTATTGACTCCTTTGCAAATAACTTAATTTAAGGTGAAACGCTTTATGTCCTTATTGTAGCTTTCTTAGTAACTGTTTTAGCTTCCTTCGGCGTTTACAACTAACTATTTTTATTTGTAGAGATTTTCTTTTTATCCATATTAGCTTATTGCTTGCACAGTCTGTTGTTCTATATGCTTTGTAAAATCTCTAAAAACAAATACTATAGGTACTCTAAATAGAAAGCAATATTTCTAATCTTTTAAATGAAATTAAATATTATATCCCTTTACTAATCATTAAGAATTAAAAAGTATCAATTTCCTTCATTCAATTAATCACTAATCTTTACTATATAAATTTATTTATTTATTCCGCTATATGATTATATTCATTTAATACAATCAAATAATTAGTAAAAAATTATCTTCCATAAACAGATAGTTAGTTAGTTAGCTAGCTAGCTAATTATTCAAACTAAAAGATTTTTATATGATCCATATATTATGCTAAGTAATAACTATAAATTAATTATTATCAGGTTTTTTGCTTAATTTGATTAATTTAAAATTGAAAATGTTTTAAATAGAATTAAATTTAAAAAAAGAACTCAATTATTTTAATTAATTTTGACAGTTAGTAAAGCTATCTCAAATTAATTTAAAATATTTATTTTAAATTTAACAATTGAAATTATCTAAAATAATTTTTTAACTTTTTTGATTTTATTTTTTAAGTATATTTTCTTATATTTGAAATTAATATTATTAAAACTACAAATTTTTATATTTTAAAATACAAAAGAGCTTATAAGTAAGTAAAAAATTAATGTTAATTTTACAAAAAGACTTTTAAAAATGTAAAATATTTATTATAAATTTAAATCAAATTAAATATAAAACTTAAAAATAAAATAAATTCTAAATAACTTGAAAAATATTATAAAATTTATTTTATTTACCCCAAAAATATTTGTCATTAAAAATTAAAAATGTTTGCATTAAATTTACAAAAAATCAATTCAGTATTTTGATTTGGTTCAGATATTTTACTTTCCTAGTTTTTTATTAGAAAGAGTTTAAATTAAATTTTAAAAATATTTTATAAAACAAACACATTTTTGAATAATTTACTCCAAAAATAGATTAAGTTAAGTTACAGTAAGGTTTTAGAAAGTTAAATAGTTTGTTATTATTAAGGTAAGCTAATATTTATGTCGAATAGGATTTACTACTAATTTTACTCAAAATTATTAATTAATAGCTCTATAAAAATGGGTAAAATGAGACTAAAAAGAAATTAATTTACTACAAGCAAATATAAAATTGTTAAAAAAAAAGAAATTTAGATAAATTTTTATGAGTAGTACAGTGTTAAAAGTAAATGAGAAGTAGTCTTTAAAGACGAAATAAATTAGGATGTGACGAAATTGATTAATAGGTAAGAATAAGTTGTTTGGAATATATATGTGATTTACTGTGAAAGTAATTGCTTTTTTATTTTGGATTAAACAACATCAAGGAGCAGTAAAAAATATTTTGATAGTGATATTAGTACCTTGTTATCAAACAAAATTATCAAGTGGATAGATGGAATTCAAATTTATGTCTAAATCTAAGAAAAAATTTAGAATATTTATTTGAGTAAATAGTAATAGTTAAAAATCCTTAGAAAAATTGTTACTTACTTTGTCATGAGAGTGGCTAATGAATTATTTTTTATGGAAATGCGCTAATTTTTTTGTACTAAAATTATTGAAAATTAACTTCTAATTTAAAAAATTGAAGGCGTATTTTTAGTCATCTAAATAGAGAGATATTTTTTAATGAGAAAGAAATTCATGCATGATTAATACTAAATAGAACAAAAACAGAAAGAAAAGTAGTGATCAAATGCCTTGTTTATCTCTTCTCATATGCTATTAAAAGATTGAATGAATTTGTTTAATTTAATGATAAAAGAAAAATAGAGCACTAAAAGAGCTGTGTAGAAGATAAATTTTTTAATTAATTAATTAAAAAGAAAGGATACAAATATTCAAGCAATCAAAAATTTATAAATAAATAATAAGTAAAGAATTAATTAAATAGAAATTTGATAAGAATTCTGATTTACCACAAATAAAAAAACAAAATAGTGTTGATAATATATACAAATAAATAGATAGACTTTTCATTCATAATTAATTAAGCATAACATAAAAACTCATATTAGATATAAGAATATTCAAAAGCAAGCAAATAGTTTAAAGCAATTAAATTACAAACAAATTAATAACTAAGCAAGCAAGCAATCAAGTTCGTTTAATCATTTTCAAGTGCGGAATTGAGAAGGTTTAAAGTAAAAATATTATTTTATTCAGTTAATTTAAATGGTAAAATATTCTGACGTATATGAATGCGAAATCGAGAAGGATAGGACCTTCAAGAGGTCGAAAGTAATCTTGTGCTTGCTTTGTCTTTTGATTATTGCTCTCCTTATGTCAATTGTATCTCAAAATTTTTATTGGGCATTTGCTCTTTTCATAGGGCTTCCAATTTATTTTGTAGCAATGAACTTGCTCTTTAGGTATCAAGCTAATTCAGTAAATGCAAACTAGAATGGTTGCATTTGTATGGCATGCTCTGTATTGTGGATTTTTGGGCTTATTGGCCTTTTTATATATTTATATTTGACCTCCTATGCATAATATTTTTCTTAGAGATACTCTCATACTAATTGTAGAGCGTATAAAATAGATCATGTGAAAACTTCAACATAGAATTATTATTCAATTACATACGAAATTATCAACAACGTTGAACAATATAAATAAGCCAGAGGGATAACTAATATGTTTGATTAAACTACAACTCCTCCTCCTCTTCCTAACCAAATTTATGGGTGTGGTTGTACTTCTAATAAAAAAACTCAGATGAGTGTCAGTGGATTATATGGATATGATTACACATTTGATAATGGAAACTTAAAAACACTACCTTTTTGGCTTTGTGAATCTGTCAATGATGATTATGTTCCCACTTTGATTGATTATTCAAAGATTTATTCATGTTTTATTTACTCTTATAATTCACCTAACGATTAACAAAAGATGGATCCTAATGTTTGTTCTACTAGCGGATCTTTTATATAAACTACCTTTGACGATCCTCCATATTATAACTATACTCAATTTCTTTACATGATAGGCTTTATTTTTCTCACAATATTCGGATTAGCATGTAATTTTCCAATGACTTATTTGTTGTTAATGTTTTAATATAAGACGGTCCCTATGAAGGAGTATCAGCCGTCTTCAGATCGTAGGAAGATTTTGATTTGCTATGCTCTCAAGAAGGTTCTGATGATTGACAGAATCAACAAATAAGTTGAATCGCTAGGGATTTAAAATTAGCTCATTCCTGTTATGCCTATGAGTAAAAGACTATCTAAAAACGATCAATAGCATCAAAAACAATAAGCTCCTTTAGTCGATTTACAATAATACATAAAAAATATAAAACTCCCTGATAATCAATCAATAAGCTATTTTCGTAAGGAAATATTGGATGAATTATTAGAATTCTTATACACAGATAATGTTCATTACCACATTGTTAAAAGGAGATAGCAGTCAGTACGAAACAGAAATCAATCGCACTACACTAATAGTCATTTTATAAATTAAAGTTAGGTTGATCAAAATAACAGAAGCTAAAATAATAATTTACAACTAAGACCATAGGTTTCTTAGAATTAGTCAATAACTGGTAACTAAATAGTTATTAATATCAATCAGCTTTTAAATATCGAACCAAATATTCCTCAAAACCCAAGTCAAGATCCTCCTTAATAAGCTTAAAATTTAGAATAGACAAATGCCTAGAGAAATTTAAATACATTTTCAGCTGATAATTCGCGTTTAGGGGAAATTCAGTCTCTCAATCAAACAAATTAGATGGCTGAAATAGACAGAACTTAAAATCATCAACAAGATTAACGCAATTACTAGCAACAAGTTGTTGAGCAAAAAGATAATAGAGAAAATGAGATGAATAATTAAGATAATAACTAAATTCAAGCTTTCTAATCTGTTTTAGCTCGCAATGATTAATAAATAAAAAGTATGTTCCACTAATAAATATCAACTCATCATAAAAAAAATTCTATTGATTATTAACTTTAGCAGTTAAATTTAAAAACCGGAAAATCCTCTAAATACTCTGGACAAACTAAACTGGATGAATTTTAATCAGAGGATTACAGGAACGATGAAGACATACAAGAAGAAGAGATTTAGTGGAATAAACAAGAAAGTAATAATGAAAATGGCAATGACATAAACAGTAGTAACCTCCACAATAGTGCTTAATAATATAGTGGAAACAATATTTAATTCATGAATAGACACAGCAATCAGCTTATTTCGACCTACAGAAATAACAATAATAATGATTAATAAAACACTTTTAAAAACCTCTTATCTGATCCAGAGATTTAGTTGAAGCAGAATGAAAACTCACACTAGGTAGTGCATTTTAACTCAATTCCTGAAATTAAGCTTGAAAATGAGGATCACAAACAAATATTTTCACCACAAAATGAAGACTTAAATAATAAAAAATATGATTTTCATGAACATATTGGAACACAACCATGTGAAACTTCTTTCTTAAAGCATAAATCGAACGAATAAAATCATCAAGACTCTCCTCAGTAATTTTTACAAAAATTGGATGAAAACAATATGAATTAAATTAATCTTGGCGTTGTTTAGGAAATTTAAAAACCCTGATTTGTGGGTATATCAATCACAATAATAAAGCAAGCAAGAAAGTAATCATTAAATAAAAATAATATTTAAGAAGCAAAGAGTGTCTAAAATTCTAAAAAATGAAATGAATTAATTAAATAAAAGAAAACCAAAATTAATTAATTTCTTAGACTCTATGCAAGGTAAAATGAAATAAAATGACTTCAAATTTAATAGACCAATAGAAACTCACTGCTTCTTATTGCTTTAATTTATTTAATTAATAAATAATAATTGCTTTCTATTTCAATAAAAATCAAACTTACAAAAATTAATTACAGAAAAATAAAATAACCTGATGAATTACAAGATCAACTAATTAATCTATTTTAGGCATGCATATAATTAATACTTACCAATATTTCACTCTCTTTAACTTACTTCAAAGCATAATAAGGCATTTGTATATAGTATAAATAAGACGCACTAATATTATATATAAATCTATATAAATCATTCAAATTGCAGTTAAATTTCAAAAGATTATTCAAGAATTTATCACTTTTCTAATTAACTCGTTTCCTTTTATATTATTTTAGTTAGATTTCTTTCATTTTTAAATTTGTAACCCGAAACTATAACAACTTAATTATTAGGTTAAAAATTTTGCCTTTAATCAATTAAAATTACGTAGATAATTCAAATTTTGCATAAGTATTTTTCATAAAAATTGTAAAAGCTCTTCTTATAAAAAATTAAAAATAATTTATTATGATAAATATTTTAAAAAATAAAATTACTTACTGATATATTTAGCAAGAATCTTTAAAATCTGATTAAATTAAGTCAAGCAAGGCGCCATAAAAAAATATAGTGCTTGGCATGCCACTTTTTATGAAATAGATTTTTTATTTATTTATTAAAAATCTGATTTTTAATTTATATTAGAATTATAATTAATTTATTATAATTTAAAAAATAAATAATTAATAATTTTTTTATCAAAATTTTTAAATTTAGCTAATTTTTGAAAAATATTTTAATATTAAATTCATACTGAGTACTGCCAGATACTTTAAAAATATTATCTGTATTTTATTAATTTTTGATGATAAAAAAAAGTTTAATCTATTTATTAAAATTTATTTAAATAGGTATAAATTCACTTATTTTGTACATTCAAATGCAAGATATATACCTAAATAATATTTAATTGCAGTAAAAATTAATTGGATTAGAGAATAATTTGATATTTTATAAAAATTCTGCTTATTACTGGACTAAAATAGAAAAATTTACAAAATAAAAATTATTTTTTTAAACTTTAAGGACAGCAATTACTAAAGTTTTTTCAACATATAACTAACTATATATCTATTTTTCCTACTAAACATTTATGTACACATTTCAGATAGTAATATTAATATTAAATAATTAATGCTACACTAACTTTTTTGCTATATCTCTTACTTAAATAAAATTTATAAACTCATTTTATTTGTTTATCCTTTTTATTCACTTATAATTAATTAAATTTCAATTACTATTCTATATATTTGAAAAAAAACAAATAAATAAATAATATAATAGATTAAATAATACAAAAAATTAGAAGATGTAACATTTATTTTTTATCAATATCCTTTAAATTTATTTTTATTAATATAAAAAGTTTTTAAACTCTTCACTCGTATCTCATTAGGTTCTCCATATTAATCTTAGGTTTATTTAATTTATATTAATAATATAATTATTTTCTTTACATTTAACTTACAATTTATTTATAATTTAATTTTTTTAATAGAAATTATTGTTTATATTCATTTATTATTTATACAAATATTTTTTTAGTTGTTTTAACTTAATTCAATTTCAATTTTTAAAATTCATATCTAATTTTTATTATTTTATTTTTTAATGATTTTTTATTTCAAAGATTTTTACTTGATAATTTCAATTTATTTTGGATTGTGGTATTTTTAGTTATATATCATACATATCATAATATTGTGCCCCTATCCTGAAAATTTATCAAAACTTAAACTAATAATTTTTAATTGAGATCTCATCTTATTTTAATAAATAATTTACCATTGAAAAGAGGACAAATTAGACTATATGAATATGCATAAATTAATTTCATAGTCCTTAACATTTCACAATCAAGTTATATTTGATAGGGATACGATATTATGAAATTTATGATACAAGAAATTAAAACATTATATTTATCTATTAATTTGTTTATGAGTTTTTATTTGGTTTATTTTTATTGTACTTTTTATTTCTTTCTTTCTTAATTTAACTCATTTTTTTATTATATCAAACTTTGCTTTTATTATTATTGATTAATTTATTTGATTTGTTATTTCATATTTTTTCTTCATTTTTTCCTTCTAACTAACTTATTGATAATATTGTTTTTCTTTAATATTTAAAAAGTTAAAATTAAATAGGTGAAACATATGTGTCAGATTTAGGTTCTGCTTTAGCAAAGTGCACTAATTTGACACTTTAAATAGTATAATAAAGTATATTGGTTATGGATTATGATATTTTTAGTAATAAAATTGAATTTAAAACAAAATAACTCTTTTAATATGTTTATTAGGTTTTATTAGATTTACTTTTTTTTTTCTTTTTATTATACTTATTTTTTTTCTCTTCTATCTTTCTCAAAGCTACTCATTTTTTCTTTTCAAATTTTGCTTTTATTATTATTAATTAATTCATTTTTTTTTTTTCATTATTTCCTTCTAATTATCTAATTAATTATATAATTTATCTTCAAAATTTAAAAAGTGATTAATAAATTGATGATAAAGGTGTATCAGATTTAGGTATTTCTTTAACAAACTGCACTAACCTCTCGAATTAGACACTTAATATTGGGTATAAAATTTATTTGTTTTGAATTTTAATGTTTTTAGTTATAAAAATTAATTTAAAGGAGTACAATACTTTTAATTTGTTTATTAACTCTTTATTTAATCTAGTTTCTTTTTTTTTATCTATTTTTTTCATCTAAATTTCTTAATTTAAATCATTTATATTTTCAAATTTGCTTTTACTATTATTAATTCATTAATATCTTATTATTTCAATATTTAAAAAGTAAAAATTAAATTGGTGAAGAAGAATAGAATAGAAATACTCTCACATATAAATGCACTCAGAATAAATCTTAAAGATAATATTTTATACTGGTATTATATATATTTATTTATTTTAGTGTTTATAAGTCATCATTTTTAAAGGCCATCTTCTTTTATTGTTTGATTTTTAGGCTTTTATCAATTCTATTATTATGGGGATGGCATGTATGTTCCAACGATGCATTATAGCTCCTATCAACCTTATAGAACGGTTAGGTCGTTGGTTTATTTATGGAGCTTATACCAAATAGATTGATTTGAGCTAAATCATTTCTATTTTATTTAAGAAGGTTTTCATATTATAATATACTTTGAAAACCTTCTTTTTTGTTTGATTTTTAGGCTTGAATCAAATACTATTATTTTAGGGATGGCCTGTGTATTCCAAAGATGTCGTTTTACTCGTATAAACCTTATAGACTGGTTAGGTCGTTGATTTATTTATATAGCTTTATACCCTAATAGACTGATTTGAGTTAAATCATTTTGTTTAAGAAGGTTTTCATATTATAATATACTTTTGAAAACCTTCTTTTTGTTATTTTATTTTTTATTTTTAACTTTTATCAAATACAATTATTATAGGGTAATTTTATTTCATAAATTGGCGAATAATGTGTATCAGAATTAGGTTTTGCTTTAGCAAAATGCACTAATCCCTCTAATTTGACACTTGATCTTAAGTAAAAAAAGTTTATTTGTTTTGGATTACGATGTTTTTAAATAAAAATGAATTTAAAAGCAATTTTTTTATTATAATTTGCTTATTTTCTTTTTATTTTTTCTTTTTTTATTATATTTGTGTGTTTTTTTTTCTTCTACCTTTCTTAATTTAAATAGTTTATTTTTCATATTTTGATTTTTTTATTATTTTATAATTTCATATTTTTCTTGATTTTATCCTTTTATGTAACTAATTAATTATATATTTATTTTTTCTTCAATATTAAAAAAGTAACAATTAAATTGGTGAATAAGGTTTATCAGGCTTAGGTATTGTTTTAGCAAATTGCTCTAATCTATCAAATTTGATACTTGGTATCAGGTAAAAATAATTTATTTGTTTTGTATTGTGGTATTTTTAGTATAAAAATTAATTTAAAGCTATGTTATTCTTTAATTTGTTTATTTTTTTTTGTTTGATTTATTTTTCTTTTTCTTTTTTATTGTAGTTGTGTTTTTCTTCTTCTTCTTCTATCCTTCTTAATTTAAATAATTCATTTCTTATTATTTCATATTTTTTCTTGATTTTTTTCCTTCTAAGTAACTAATAAATTATATATATTTTCTTCAATATTTAAAAAGTACAAATAATATTGATAATAAAGGAACATCAATCTTATTTTCTGCTTTAACAAATTGCACCAATCTCTCTAATTTGACACTTGATCTTGAGTAAAAAAGTTTATTTTTTTGATTGTGATATTTTTAGTTATAAAAATGTATTTAAAATAAGTTTACTCTTTTAATTAGTTTATTAGCTTTTATTTAATTTATTTACTTATTACCTTTTTTATTAATCTTGTTTTTTTTTATTCTATTTTTCTCAATTTAACCATTTTTTATTTACAAATTTTTCTTTTATTATTATTAATTCATTCATTTCTTCTAATTTTATATTTTTTCTCCATTTTTCCTTTTAAATAACTAATTAATAAAATATTATTTTTTCAATATTTAAAAAGTTAAAATTAAATTAGCGCTATCTGTGCATTAGATTTAGGTTCTGCTTTAGCAAATTGCACAAATCTCTCAAATTTGACACTTTTTCTTTGGTAAAAAAGTTTATTTGTTTTAGATTGTGAAATTTTTAGTTATAAAATTAATTTAAAACAACATAACTCATTTATTTTCCTATTTATCTTATACTTCCTTGCAGCTTTTCTTTTATTATTATGTTTTATGGCATAATTTGCTGCTTTTAACTTAAAACGAGCATTTATTTTAGCTATTTGTTTACTTTGCTGCATCTGACGATGAAGAATCATTCTCTGCTCTATTTTCTGAATTACTTGAATTGCTTTGATTACTTGAAGAGTGAGAATATTCCTAATCTTCCTTATCATCTTAATATGCATCAAGTGAAAAAGATGATGATAAGCTCGAAGAAGTTTCTGAAATATTTTTAATGATGGGTTTACACTTTACAGACCTTTTATTGTTTTTAGTATAACTATTTCTGAAGAGTAATCATCTTCTTCCATTTTTTATGATGAATTCTTTTTAAAGAATGTTTTATTTTATTCTGCTGTTACAATTAATTTAATTAATTAATTATTTAATAGTCCTGAAAGAATTTAATTACTATATTTCATAATAGGGGCTAGAAAATAATTTTAGAGAGTGGCTAAAAAAAATAAATGAGTTTAGGGCGCAAAAATTACAGTTACTACTGTATTAATATTCATGTAAAATGTAAAGAAAGAATAACTTCTATTTATCGAAAAATGAAATGTTAAATTTTTATCTTTTTATAAATTTTCTTATTTTCTTTAAGAATTAAAAAAGAAAATCAATAAGTTTAATTAGTTTGTTGATCATTTGATAAATAAGTTGATTAAAATTAAAATATTTATTCATTAAAAATGTAAAATGACAATAAATATGCAATACTTATATGATTAAATTTATGTAAAGCAACTAGCATTTTATGCGGGCTTTGAATTAATTAGTTACTTTTATAAAGATAAATCATGGATTTTGTTCTTCTTTTAAAAGTTTATTATAGCTAATAATAGCTTAAAACAAATAAAAATATTTGTTTTCAGTACAGTTGTTCTTTTCACAGTTTGGTTCTTATAAATTCATTTCTTAGCTAGAATTTGCTTCTTTGAGTTTACTTACCAGTTCAGAATAAGTATTTTTAGGTCTTTGGTTGTTTTAGATTTAACTATTAAAGTCAGTATAAATTGTTGTTTTTAGTTTAAAATCATTAGCAAAGTCAAATTTAACTTATGAGATTGTTTCCTATGAAGTAATAAATAGTTTTTTTCTATCTGTTTCTTCAATGTCATTTACTGAAATATAAGGGTTAATTAGTCCAACGAACCCAAATTAAAACAAAGGACGAGACATAGTTGCTATGTACAAAGCTTGTAGGCCTCCAAATCCTTCACCTGCAATTAATCTGTGGTAATGAGAAAATGGTACTTGGTAATGGCTCTCTATTTATGGAATAAGTTCTTAGTTAAAGAAGCTATAAAAGCTTGTATCTCTCAAGAATGCATCAGGTATTGATGGAATTGAAATAAGAATGAAATTTTCTATTTCTTACAACTTTTTGGCTAAGTTATCGTAAATCGATTAGATTTAATTTGTAGGGTTTTCTCTATCGTTGATGAAATATAGATATTAAATTTAAGTTTTCTTATTGAGGAATTAGGCAGGACTGAATATCACTTCATAAAAGATGCGTTTTGCTAGAATTTTCGAATTCAAAAATTTAATTTCCACTTTTAAATCACTATTTGAGTCTAGTATACAGCTTTAAGTCTTATAATCCTCATTATGATTTTGTTAACAATTTTTAACACATTTGCCATTTTCTAAAAAATAATCCTTATAACAAATTTAACAGAAGCTTTTAGAAATGCAAGAAAAGCAATTTTCTATTTAGCAACTAGAACATGTGTAAAGCTGCATTTCTTAAGTGTTTTTTCTTTCAATTCCATACTAAAAGTGATCTTCTGGACACTGCTTCATAGATTATGCTTAGTAATCACTAATGCAAGTACTTGATATATTTTTATAATTATTTGGGCAGTTGGCTAAACAAAAGCTAGAATAAACGAGTGTATTAATACTGCATGTCTTAAGCCATTCGCATGTAGAAATATCAAAGAAATACTCTTTTTTACGGTACTACTTTATGAATTCCTATCTGTTTAACTAACATTTTTCAATTTATTTGCTAAATAATCTCATGTCTTCTATTTCTTTTTTTAATTCCTCTTTTGCATGAGGGTACATCTCATCGCCATCGCGTCCTCTTAATTACCCACTTTCAATCTCACTTTGCTAAAAAGTCATGTAAATATTAAACAACAAATAACCCAAGAAAACAGCAAGTGCAATAATTCTGCACAATCTCTATTTGAAACCAAGTTTAGGTTGCTCTTCTACTTGATTTAAATCTATAACCTATCTATTTCTATTATCGATTCTTCTGGGCATCTATGCGCCATCAGCAGAAGCGTAAAATTATGAAATACCTTGGTTCTATTACTGGATATTACTATCTAATTGTTATTAAATGGATAAATTGCTATTTTTTTGAGATCCTGCATTCTAGTAGCTGCTAGTGACTTGCCCTTTAAAAGTGCCCCCTAAAAAATTTTAAGCTGGCTGAGTTTATTCATTATGCATAGTTTACTCAGATAGTCCATTTAAGCTCATGAAATCTATGGCATTATATTAGTGAGTATTGTTATCCTTATTAATAGATGTGTCGATATTTATCTGCTACAAATTCGAATCATCTACTTTGGATACGTCTTAGCTTTACATATTTTCATAAACTTTATTACTAATTGTCTTTTTCATTCTCTTTCTTCCATCTCTGCGTACTCTAGAAGAATCTGGTAAACTTGCCTCTGAATGTTAGGATTAGAACTCATCATTTTTTGAACTGCCTGATGTCTTATTATTTTCTACTTTTTAACTGTAGCTCTTCTTTAGAGTTACATTTGACATTTTTCCTGCTTCGCTGCTCTCGCCCTTTTTTTGTTCCTTCATAGCTATAAAAATTTGTTTCGCTATTTCTAAAATTCACTTTGTTCGCTAACAATCTCTTCCTTTTCTTCTGCTTCAAATAGATAATTATTTGATTTTTTACCGAATATTTTTTCAACTTACTATATTAATACATATAATTAATTAATTAAATTAATTCGAAAGAATAAAAGCAAGCATTTATCATGATATAAATAGAATAAATTGATTAATAAAGAAATTTATTAAGCAAATAATTTAAATTGTAAAAAAAAAAGAAAACATAAGTATGAAATGTTAATTAATTAATTCATTCATTTAAAACTTCAAATACATTAATAAATTATTATTTTTCGATTGGCTTTATAAAAACCAATCAGTATCAAGTTCTTAGTAATATTAAATGAATAATTTATTGTCTTTTGATTCTCTCACTTTAGAGGAGTGTTTATTTTAGTTTATTTCATAATTTATCTCTACTATTAATTACAATCTCTAACTATTTATTTTTAATATTTAATTCAGTAAAATAAACTTATTATTCAAAGCTAACAAATTTATATTTAATATAATATGAAGAGCCACTTTATTTATTAATCATATAAAATAGAAATGGTTTATTCCTAATTTTTAGAATTCATTGATAGAATAAAATACTATACTGTTTATCCTTATTAATAACATTCAAATTATAATTTTAAATTAAACTTCTTATTGAATATTCTTATTAAAAGTTGACTTAATAAAAAATTATGAATGACGCTTCATTAATAAATGAAGAATTACTGTAAATTAATTTTATAAAAAATATTTTTGGAAAGCTTTATGATAATTTAAACAAAAATAAAATCTGATACAAATCAATATAAAAATATAAATAAAATAAGTTATTTATGAATATCTTTATCAAATGATTTTATTTCCAGTAATACATTAGAATATTCTTTAATCTAAAATATTAATTTCTTATTTGGATTAACATTTTTTTAAAAACTTTAAAATGTATTTACTTTATAATTCTTCAGAATCTAAAATATTTTATTATTTTTCTAGGTAGTTTATTTTCGATTTTATTTCTACTTTAATAAAATAAAAGAAATCAGATTGCATTTGATAAAGAATTATTAAAAATAAATACCTGTTTTACTTTAGTTAATTTGTGAGCTATCCTACGCCTATAAGAACAATGAAGAATATCCAACTAACTTTAATGTAGCCAATTAATCTTTTGTAAGCAAAAGCATTATTGCTTTTTTGATAAACAGTATATCTTTATAAAGTTCAAAAATCTCCAAACTTTGAGTCATGCGCTTTTCAATTTTATCACTTATGAATTTTGAAAAACTATTTGATAGCTCATATTTATTTTTTCTAAACAAATACCTTATCTTAGATAAAAGAGACTTGCATGTATTTCTATAAATAAAAATAAGATGATAAAAAAGATTTAAATAAATTTAATTTACTTTGAATTTTAAATAATCTAGCGAGATTTCTACAATATGTTTACATCTGAAATTGCTTTTAACTTTTATGTGTAATAATCAAAGTTATTTTTAGAATTAGGATTAAATGATGAGAATTTATCAATTGTTTGTGAATTTTTATAATTTGATTTTAAATTATTTGGAGATGCATTATTTTAAGATTAGTAAATATTTTGATCTATAATAATCTCTGATTCTTCTTTATTCACTCCTGTAGAACTATAAAACTTTTATTGGATTGGTTTTTATTCAAAAGGCGTAAAACTCTATTAATTTAAGTTCTACATGAAAAATGTTTGAGACTCTTCTTACTTAATTGATTAATCAACAACTGTATTTTATTTTTGGTTTTAAATATTATTAAAATTGAATTTATTATTTCTTTCTTTTTTATTTTAACTTTAGACTATTTCGAAAGATTATGTTTCATTATTTACCTGTTTGCTTTGTATTTGCGATTTCATTATCTATGTTTGAAATTTAGGAATATTTTTTATGCTCGTATTCTCAGGTTAGTCAATGATTGATTCTTCGAAATATTCTTTTTAAGTTGTCTATTTTTTTACTATTTAAGTTTGCTAGAAATGAGGCTTATTTGAAGTAAAAAGCTTATTGTTTCTTAATATTTACTCGTATGTATCTTAAAACATATTTTATAAAAACACTAAGAAAAAGTCTTGCAAAATGAGTTTTTATGAGAAGTATTTACAGAATACTCCTACTGTCATCAATGTGGCAAATGTGCTATTTACTAAAGCTAAAACTTCAGGGAAAGTAGGAAATTAGATTTAAAAGACTTGAATTATTTCATCCATTTTTAAAGTAAGTTCAATGTAAGGGTTTTAATTGTTTGGTTGATTAAATGTTTGACTTTCCTAGTTATATTATATAGGACCAGAGTAAACAGATTCAGATTAAATTATAAATCCTTTATTTACTGTTGTAGTTTATTATTCAGCTTTGTATGTAGTAATAGAGTATTGATTTGATGCAGGATATATGATAGAATTTCTGTAATTCACTTAGCTGCTTTAAGAAGTTATGTTGTATTAGGTCACATAGAACTTTAAACTCATTTCTGCATAAGACGAATCAAGAAAGTTATCGATATCTGTTTACTATGCACAATTACTTGGAATTGTAGTTTTAAACCCATCTAATGCATTGCATCCATAAACCAATATCATCAGCGAGTAGTAATTTCTATCCTAAAAGTTGCTTAGCATAGTTTTCTAAGGTATGCTTGACAAATCTAAGCAGTTATAGTCACTAAGTTGGGGATTTGAGCACTTAATGATGTTTAATTATGTGAAATTAGTTTATTACTTGTAAGATTATATAAAATAAGCCTAGTAAACCAGATATGTTTAATTAGACAAAGCTTAATATTCATCTATTGTTAAGCTTTGATTATAGGTGAATTTGAACGAAATCAAGTCTTCGTGAAGATCAATTTGTGTTTATTAATTTGTGATGAAGCTCTGAGATCTAAACTTTGGGTCAATCTAGTTGTCAAAGTATTGTTTAATTTGATAAATGAAGTATGCTAGTACGCTTGATATAATTAAGGCCGATAAAAAAGAGCCTATAAAGCTTCCTTTTTTATCATTTTTATTTTTAAAGTAAAATGAAAATGGCTACTTGAATAGGTCAATCTAAGTGAAATCCATATACTATTTATTAGTTTAACTTTGTAAGCACTATAAATAAATCAAATCTTTTTATATTTTGTTATTACTTATTACTAGATTTAATTAATCTAAATGAAGATATATATAAACAAATATTTAATTTAATTTTAAGAACGAACCACTTTTTATACCAAAGTGTATTTTTATTGCTTATATAGTTATTATATATACTTTTAAACAAATATTCAGGCTCTAAAAATATTCCTAATATTTTGTTAAGATATTTTACTCTTCTACGAATTCAATCAATCTTCTATAAAGCAAACTTACATAGCAAGAATTTTTTCATATATATTAAATATAATAAAAGAGACGGCATAATTAGCTGCTTGACATATTTTCTTAGCCTTATATTCTTTAAAATTTTTTTAATTATTTTTTTCTTAACTAAAATATTAATAAATTTCTTCTTAGATAACTAAATTATTTCTAAAAAGAAAATAAATAAATTCATGTTAGATTTTTCCATTTTTCATCTGATAAAAGCAATTGAGATATTTTATTATTAATTAATTAACTAACTAAAATATTTAAATTTCAAATAAATATTTAATTAAATTTTAAGAACATTCATTAAAATCTAAAAGTAAATCTATAAAATATTTTTAAAAAATTGTTGATATTAAAAGTTTTTCTTAAAATTATAAATTTTAATAAAGATATTTACTTAATATTATATCTACTAAAAAACAAGTAATATTATTAAAAATTTAATTAAATTAGAATTAATTATGTTTTTTAATATAAAATTCTATTTTTTTATTTTAAATATTTTTTTTAACAGATTAATCAGAAAATTTTTTAATAAAGGAGGGATAATTTAATTAATGAAATATGAATTTAATTGAATATTAAATTTACAAAAGATTTACTTTATTTGAAAAAATATTTTATTTAATTAAACCTTTTCCTACCTAAAATTATATTTAATTTATTTATTAATTAATAAATTAACTAATTATATATTTTATCAGCTTGTTAAATAAAATTTGATTAAGCGATTTATTTTGTTTTATTTAATAATAATTTATCTCTTTAAAATGATAGTCAGTCACAAACATAAATAAATACATATTAAAAATATCTACATTAAATATTTGATGGAATAATAAAAGGTACTAAAAATAAATAGTCATATTTCAAGATTTTAATTGGGTGTAACACTATTTTATACTTTCTCTATTTATTATAAACTTATTTCAACTTCTTCATTTTACCCTTTATTTAAATTAGTAGATTCTTCATCATCTTTATTAGCTTCTTCTTATTATTTGTTATTACCTAACTTATAAGCATTTTTACAAGACAAAAAATCAGTATGATGAGATTTCAACTTTAAAAGGTTTTCTTCAAATCTTTTTCTCGCTTAATAGTCGGGATTTAATTCATATATTTCCACTAAGTCATAATTTTCATCACCGAATTTCTTCTTGTGATTCATTTTGTTTTTTAACCTATCTATATTAACCCATCCCACAAAAGCACTTGCTAGTATCATACCAAATATCAATATTCCCCAGGGTTGGCGCCTTTGTTTACCATTAGGAGACTGGGAACTATCATTTTATTCTTGACTATTAAAAAATTCCTATAAATCTATTTCTATATTTAAATTACTCTTTGCACAGTTGATTGAAAATTCTACTAAATCTTTCATAAGCTAGCTCTAAAAAGAAGATGGATTGTAACATTATTAAAAACATTGCAAGTAGGGAACTTGCAACTCTTGCTCTTAAGGCTAAGAATCTATTAATAAACAGCAATTTGAATTAGATTTAAGGCAGCTATAAAAATCCTATATCTCTTAATTAATTATATTTGATTAAACATCATCTATATCCTCTTATCTATAAACGTATCCATTTAAATCATCAATTAAATCATCTTCTATTTATTTTAACTACTCTTTCATTTTTTTAGAAAATCCAAATCTTTTTTGGCAATCCCTAAACTATATTAAATCTCCTATGACTAAGTGAATGCAGCTAAACGCTATTATGTATATTCCTGCATTTTTAATCATTCTCTACTAAATATTATTTTATTTTGCTACTTTTTAAACTCTATAATTACTGAAATCTTTCTTTATTTTAAATTATGATAATTACAAATCTATTAAAAGCAAAACAAATTTTTTTAAGTAAAAAATAAGTTTTTCAACTAATTCGTAAATTTTAATTTGAAAAACGCAAGAAAATTATGCATTATATAATATTAACTCAAAAGATTTTGTGAAGGAATTTATAAATTAAAGCCATTACATATTCTAGTTTTGTTTTTTTCCAAAAAATTTATGTTATAAAGAAATTAGATGAGAATGAATAAGTTAAAACTTAAAGACAAATATAAACAGTGACTTATAAAATATTATAAATTCTAAACTTAATGTATTCTTTTATTTTAATTTAAATAAAAATTTAATATTAAAATTTAAATTTATTTTATTTAAAATTTAAAGAATAGAAAATTTTTTAACAGTAAATGAATGATCTATTGATTGAAAGAGTACCTTATATAAAATATTAAAGTAATCAACCACTAAAATAAATATAATTAATTTAGTTATAAATAATAAGTAAGATAAATGATATATAAAATATATTGATATTAAAATATATTATAGTAAACTATTGGGTTCATCGATGTGATTGATGTATTTATTTATTTATTTATTTATAATTTCAGCAAACAAATAAATTGTCATTCAAGCTTCTCTTCAAATACCTGAGAAACATGCTCTCTCATATATTTGAGGCCATTTGGGTAATTAAGACAACGATATTTATGGATTGGGTATTGATTTTCTTTATCTGCGTGATTATTTTCTTTGTTACTATTATCATTTTTAGGGATATTTTAACTTTTAGCAGGATTGAGCTCATTTTTGTCCAATTATTTTTAAAACATAAAAGTTGCATTGCTAATTAAATGATTTTTCATTTAGAATTATCTTTGTCTTTTTTAATCTTCTGTTAATTGAGAGAATTAGTTGAAATCCAAAAATTAGTTTTTACAGATTTCTGATGCAAATCTACTAACGAATCTGCTAGACGGCATTTTGTTTTCGTTTTCTTAAATAGGCTGCAAGACTTAATTGTTGTATTCGTACAAAGTCTTTTTCTTATTTGAAAGATGTTTCGTATTTCCTGTATTTCTATTTATTTTCAAGCTCTCTAAAGTTTTATTGCTTTCTTCTGTGTTATGGAATGAATATCTTTCACTACCTCTGAATTAGAAAATGTTTTACTATTAATTATTAAAGGAAGGTGTCATAATGACTGTATTTTAATTTTCAAATTAAAACACTTCTGAATCATTATCTTTCTTTTGATTGGCTTCTTCTTAGCCACTCAAGACTTCTTCTTACTATTAATCTATTTTGTTTTACAATTAAGTGATATTTTAATTATCGAAGTGCTCAAATTCTTTTCCATTCACTTTATTTGTGTTTTTAGAAATATCTTACGAGCTGCTACAATTCGCAATATTATTTAGGTTATTAAATTTATTTAATTCCAACTGCAAGTTAGTTTGATTTTCTAAGGAACTTGATATATCTTTAATTAATTCTTTTAAAGTGTTATTTTGATTTCTCGTTTAATCTACTTTAATAATTTCTTAATTAATACTAACATTATCACTGCTTTGCTATTTTTGTAAATTATTTTAATCATTTTTATTATTAAGGCTATCCATTTAAACAGATTGACTATCTGATCCATTTTGTTAATACTGCTACGATAATAGCTTTTATCTAATTATAATGTAAAATTATATTAAAAATAAATACAACAAATTTCAAATTTAAATTATAATGCTTCTATTAAAACTTTAAAAGGATTTTATTTTTCATGTTTTTTATCAAAATCAATTTCCATTTAGATAATTAATTTTAAAGTATTTTCTCACTTTGGTTTAATTGCTTATTTTTATTTTTTTCTTTTTCTTTTTAAAAATTTCATTAAAATTTCAAATTTCTAAGGAATATCTTTAGTTATTTGTTGATAGACTGATATTAGTCTTGGATTTTAATTAGATCTATTTATAAATTTTCTAAAATACTAAATTTTCATATAAATAACTTAACTTAAAGACTTTCTTCAAATTTTCAGTTGAAGAATATCAAAAAAAGTAAATTATTTATTGTTATATCTATGAGTTGAAATATTTGCAAAATTATTTATACCATTTTAATATTAATATTATTGATTTAGATTATTTCTATTTTTAATTAGAAATATTGGTTAAGTGACTTGAATTTGCTTTAAATATTTCATTTATTAAGAGTGTGTTCTATAACTTTAGCGCTATTAAAATAATCAAAAAGCTAGTAAAAATCTTAAGGATTTAAAGTATTTTTATTGGTGTTAATTTAAATGTGGTTAATTTTTGCTATTTTTTTGCTAAAAATTAAGTCGATGCTAAAATATTGACAACTTTATAAAAAAATATTTAGAATTTGATCATATTTTTTGTAGATGTAGAATTTATCATTTAATGATGTAGAAATTTTGATTTAAAAATTAAAAAGTTTACCTTTTTAAACGATGATAAATGTGTCTAATAAGAAAGATAATCCCTAACGCGATAATAAATCCACAAATTCCCATAATAACTAAAACAATTATATTAATGACATTTTTAGCTTCATCTAAATTTTAGTTAAGAATATCTTCATTTTAGCCAATTTATTCATTTTGTTTAGATTCATTTGATTGCAATTTCCTCAGAAATTACCCTTACAAAATAAAGTCCATATTTATCTTACAGGAAGTAAAAGCTTTCAAAATAATTTATTTTGCTTACTTAAATATTCTGATAGCGCTTGTAATTAAATTGATTTTATTCTATTTTTAAGTTTGTAAAGAAACTTTGAAGCGTTTGGCTAAATAATTAATTATTTAATTACTAATTTACTTTTTGAATTTTAAATCAATAAAAAAATAGATAGATAGAACCTATTTATTTCAAATCAAATTTTGCTTAGTTTAACGAATCAATTAAAATAGCTTTTAAGAACTCTAAAAATTGTGATTAAAAATCAATATAATTAATTATTCTTATTAACATTTCAATTATCTAGTTTTTTAAGCTAATTCAAATAAGTGATTTGTAAACATTAACAATAATTTCGAAATAATTAAAATGAATTCAATAGTTAGTTATATAGTAGCTTATAAATTATATGCATCCCTACTTTAAAAATTTTAAACGAATAATGAGTAAAATTAAAAATTTGAAAATATAAAATAATTTAAAAATAAATTAGGTGCTGAATTTGTAATTAATAAAGCATGATATTTATTTATTTAATACTTAAAATAAATTAATTTTTAGATCAACAAATAATTCTTATTTTTGTTTTATAAAATACTTTTATTAATTAAATGCTATAATTTTGTATTAATTTTAAAGTAAATAGCTGTTGTTTATTAGATAGTTTTTAGTCTTTATTTTAATTTAAATAATTTTAAGTCTCATATTGTAATTATTTTAATTTTCAAAAATGAATGACTCATTTTTGATAGAAAGTGTCAAAAGTTAGAAATGAATTTATTTTTGATATTAACATTGACAATACTTTTAACATCACTTTCGTCGACTAAATAGTATTTATCTTATTAAGACTGAATAGAAACTATGTATTTTGAGTTTTCTATATGAGATATGTTTAAAATTGGTAGGAAAATAACATGAGTCTATGTATTGAATGTATATCTACAGAAAGTAGTATTTGTATATTTTTAATACAAATCTCTTTTATTTTCATATTAGTGCCTGTCCACTGTGATCAAGAGAGAGTAAATTTTTGGTTTTAAATCCTACTAAATTTTATTTATTAATTACTACTAACTGTTCATTCTTTAAACATCAGGTAAATCCAATATCCTTAGAACCTAGTTTTATAGTTCTCTTGCTTATTGCTCTATCTAAAATAACGATTGTTCCTGAGGGAAGTCTCTAAGTTTTCTAAAAATTCTGTTTCCGTCTATTTCATCAACTTATTTTACATAGTAGCTCTCGCCAAATAAAGCCTATGCTATATTTTCTGCGATGTTTTACACTCTATTATACATGTTGATGTTTGGCAAGAATAAATACTTTTAGAAAGGCACTTATCCATCTTAAGCAAATAAAAGATCTCTCCTTGAATTGAAAAAATTATCTCTAACTAAAAAATTTTCTCCATTTTAGTAAAGCTGACCCTCTAATCGTATTTTAACATCCAATTAAATATTAAAATTTCTGCATAAATAACCAAAATTTTAGTCATCTTTTTCAATAACTAAAGGTGAATCCACATTAACATTTTTTATTGTTAACAACAATGGAACTAAAGGCATTTAGTTCAGCAAATCTATAAAATCACTTTCAGTGTATGTGTCATAAAGTTCAAAGTTAATTAAATTCTTCTATTACCTAAATAAAAAAAAAAACTAATTCATTTTTTATCTAAAAATTATTTCATTTCAAATTAAAAAAAACAACTTTAAAATTTTGCAATAATTTATTATAAATTTTAATCAAAAATGTAATTAAAACTAAAATGACGATGTTATTTTTGCATGTTTGTTTTTATTTAGAATGAGTTTTAAAGAAAGAAAAAAGAAGAATAGAGCATTAAATAAATTCTAATGAAGTTATGATAAAAGTTTATTATTACAAGAGCAATCTTTAAATGAGAGGTTTTTGTTTGTCTCTTTCTGCTTATTCTTTGTCATATTTTTGAGAAGAGTCGTTGCTTAGAGAGAATGATTTTTTTTATTCATCATAATAAATAGTCAATTCTTTTTATCTTTTGTATGTTTTTAACTGATATTCTATGACTAATTTACCTCCTATTAAGACATTAGATTGTATTAGCTTCATGAAAAGAGACTTCAAGAAATCAGGATTAGACAAATCAATATTAAGAGAAAGGTTTTTTTCAAAGACTTAGTCAATTATCTTCTCTTTGAAAAAACTAGTTAAATCTTCCAAACCATTAGCGTATTAGTAAACTACCTACATTATAAATATTTAATTTTTGTACTTTGATCATTAGAAAAAATAAATAGATGAATTTCTTGAATAAAACATGTTATTTTAAAGATTTACTAAATTTATTAATAAATTAGGAAAGAAAATTGTTTGTTTGTTTTTACTTTATTTATTTGAGACACAGCTTTAGACTTGAAATAATTTTCTAAGATCATAATCTAATGAGATGGGAAATAATACTGCATTCTTTCATAGAGAGATATTAAGAAGGATTTAACTGTAACATCTGAGATATCAAAATCACTGCTTCTTCTCTCAAAGAAATTTAGATATCTATTAGAATTTTATTAAATGTTTGTTAAATCAATAAAAATAGTTTTTACTTAAAAATCAAAGAGGCTTTTGTCAAAAACTATTCTTGAGAATAAATAATACAAATTAGGAAAAGATCTAAAATGTAGAACTAATTGTCCAAAGTGACTAACTGTTAAACCAAATCTCTTTTTTCCTATCTTGACAATTCAGTTGGAAATAATTTATCAACAAAACTATAAGCGTTGTCATTCGGGATGTAAGAATTGATTTTCCACTAAGTAAACATATTACAATTGCAAGTATCGAATTTTGACTTATATTCAGAAATATTTAATTCTGAATAGAATTTTTCATTAGAATACATCGGAGAAAATACCTGAGCCTCCACCTAATTTGAATTCTAAATTAAAAAATAATCTTTAATATTTAATTATCATAAAAGCAAAAAAAGATTCATTTTACCTCTTCTTTTTAAATGTAATTCACAATATATTGCTGATTTTTTTGATCTTCTGTTATTTTCTATTCGCATTAGTAAGAATATTAAAATAAATGTTTAATTAATTTTCTCTCTCCAATTTAAATTAAAAGTAATAAAATAAATTTTATTTAATTTTCTGTAAAAATTATCTCTAGTTAAAAATCAATTTAATTTTAATTTCTTTAAAGCTAATAAAAATATTAAATTAAGTTTTGAAATTATTTAATTATTTTTTAATAAAAACTTTGAACTTTAAATTAGCTAATTTAAAATATAAGATTCTAAAATAATTTTGAGAATCAAATTAAAATAAATTGAGAGATAAATTTGAAAAAAAAATATTTGATGAAATTAATTGTAAATTTTTAAGAATAAATAAATACTTTTCCTAGATTTTTGAAGTAGGGAAAAGCAACTCTTTAGCTTTTAGTATAATTTAAGTTGTAAGTGTTGCATGTTTGTATGAGAACGCTGCATTCTAAGAAATAACCTTCAGGCTTGAAGAGAATATTTGATTTTAAGATGACTTATTCTTCCATTAATACATTTAATTTAATTGCTTAATCGAAGAATAAGTTATCTAGCAAAATGAATCCTTCATACTTAATACCTTGTTCTTCAATGATAATTTTTAAAACACCTAGTTATTTTAACTAAATTTAATTTGATTTAAAATAATTAATTATTGCATATAAAAAAGCTACATAAACGCATTCTTAGTTTAAATCGAATTCTAAATAATCTTTGACTTGAAATTCTTAATTCAAATATTAAATAGTTATATCATTTTGATCTAATAGCACTTCTGAAAAACCATGAATAACTAAGTGCAATTTTTGAGGCTAATTAGTTAATATTTGATACAAAGGTTAGCAATCTAATTTCTTCTGGCTTTGTTTTTTCTTCATTATATACTATAATCGAATAAAAATTCAATCAATCAATCAATTATTTCAAATTAAAAAATATTTTTGTTTAAAAAAATTAAAAATTTAATTTTAATTTTAAAAAAAGAAAGAAAAAATTTATTTCATTTGCAAATATTTATTGAATTAACATTTATTAATTTAATTATTTATTTTATTGAAATATTCAAGCAAATATTTATTGGATAAACATTTGTTAATTTAATTATTTATTTTATTTGTAAATATTCAAATAAATATTTATTGGATTAGAATTTGTTAAATTAGTTATTTATTTATTGAAATATTCAAAAAATTATTTATTGGATTAGCGTTTGCTAATTTAATTATTTGTTTATTGAAATATTAAAACAAATATTTATCAGATTAACATTTATTATTTATTTATTGAAATATTCAAACAAATATTTATTGGATTAACATTTGTTAATTTAATTATTTATTTGTAAATATTCAAAAAAATATTTATTGGATTAGCATTTGCTAAATTAATTATTTATTTATTGAAATATTCAAAAAGTTATTTATTGGATTAGCATTTGCTAATTTAATTATTTGTTTATTGAAATATTAAAACAAATATTTATCAGATTAACATTTATTATTTATTTATTGAAATATTCAAACAAATATTTATTGGATTAATAATTTTTAAATTAATTTAATTATTTATTTTATTTGTAAATATTCAAACAAATATTTATTGGATTAACATTTGTTTATTTAATTTTTTATTTTAATATTCAAACAAATATTGATTGGATTAGCAATTTTTAATTTAATTTTTTATTTATTGAAAAATTCAAAAAATTATTTATCATGCATGTATGCATGAAATCAATCAATTAATCATTCATTTAATTATAAAATTTGTTGTTTCTCAAAATAAAATATTAATTAATTTATTTATTTTTATAATTTAAATTATTCATTCTTGATTTAATTTTTAACTAAAGTTAAATTTATTTTTTGAAAAAATGTTTATAATTTACTTTGAATTCAGATTCTAAGGTTTCGTACATCAAAAAATACTTAGAGAAACATATTTCTCTTAGCTTTGAGAGGTATTGATCTTCAAATAAAGTGTTAGAGACACTATACTTAGAATAGAATCCTTTCATAACACTCTCTTGAATGAGTAGTTTTTCTATTAGATGTTCATCCTAGTATCTTTATGATTCATAATTTTCTTCACCTTCACCATCTTATTCAAAGCATTTTTATAGAAAAAGCTTGTCTATCCACTCATAAACGGTGTCTATGAATTCAGATATGTTCGTTTCGAATGAGCAATAATTCTGTTTGTTTTTTGTATTTTTTTAAGTAAATAAATCTTATAAAAAGGAAATAAAATTCAACCTTAATGAGTAAAAGGACATCATCAACAGTTTTAGCTTGTTTAAGAGTGTTTTTTAGCTTGAGCAAGATTGTCATAGCAATGGAAATTAGAATCCATCTTGGCTTTATCTTATCTCTTGAAATTTCTAGAAAAATAATGTCCCAAACCCTGTACAAAAGCTCTCTAGATAAAACATTCGCATAAAGAGAGAAAAATGATTTTTCAAAGAGGAAGTCAGTATTGATGTAAAGAGAATCAAGGTGATCCCATAAATCTTTTATATGGATTTTGAAGCAATAATTTAGAACAAAAAGGTCGTCTACAATGTGCTTTCCTCTATACTTTGAGCTAATGTAATACTTCAATACATGCTTATAAAAAGAGTAAAGTGTCCAAAAAACATTAGACAAAAATTTGCCCTCTTTCTAATCCTAATTGCTCTTGCAAGTTTAATTTAAAGTAATCAATTTATCAATTATATCAATTAATCCTTAATGATAATTTATTTAAGGAATTATTTGATATTCTTAATAGTCAGCTTCTTCAACAGTCTAGCTATTTTGTTACTCCCTCTAATACTTTTTTTCTTAGTTGAAGGTATAAATAAAAATTATATCCTTAATCACTTGAGCTATTAAGTTGAATCTCTCAAATAATACTCCTACATCAATCAAATCTTACTCAAACCTTCTATTTAAATCATAAAGCATCTGAGGTGTTACATGAATACAATGAAAATGGCCTTATTTTTTAATTCAAAACATAAATAATTTCTCCCAAAATAAATTATTGTTGAAATTTTATTTCAATTAACCAACTGCTTTTTTAGCTTTTTGTTTTCATGTAATAATTATTTTTCAAGAATAAAATTCAGCTATAAATTATTTTTTATTTCTAAATTAATTATTTATTTTTGAAGAATAAAATCCAGTTATAAATTATTTTAAAAGTGGTTTTTAGAGTAAATTTAATATAAAATTTTTTTTATTTTGAAGTAGTTTTTTAGATTAAAATTAACCAACTTCTCTTTCTTTTAGCTTTTTCTTTTCATGTAATAATAATTTTTTAGAATAAAATTCAGTTATAAATTATTTTTTATTTATAAATTAATTATTTATTTTTGAAGAATAAAATCCAGCTCTTAATTATTTTAAGATTTAGAAGTGGTTTTTAGAATAAATTTAATATAAAAAAATTTTTTATTTTGAAGGAGTTTTTTAGATTAAAATTAACACCTGCTCTTTCTTTAAGCTTTTTCTTTTCATGTAATGATTATTTATTTATTTGAATAATTAATTATTTATTTTTCCAAGAATAAAATTCAGCTATAAATTATTTTAAGATTTAGAAGTGGTTTTTAGAATAAATTTAATTTAAAAAAATGTTTTATTTTGAAGTGGTTTTTCAATTAAAATTAATATGAAAAATTTTGAATTTGTTACAAATGGTAGAGATAATGCTATAAACGAAGTCTTTGTTTTCTTGGACATATCTCTGTTCAATTTATTCATAATCATTACCATATTACTAGGTCAATGCCTGCTTTAATTTTTGGTATTCTTTGAGAAGCTCAATTTTGTGATAGTTTTAGACTAATTATTTATATTATTTTCCTATTTTTTCGTTTAATAAAGCAAACTCATTCCAAGTCTAGAACCTATATTTTATTGAGATTCCAATTTTCTCACTTATCTTTTACAAGTCTTGCAAATAAGCTTACTTTATTTAAAAATAATTAATTTATTTATTAATTAAAATAAGTAAAAGTTTAATCATTTGTTTTATTTATTTATTTACCTTGTTTGATTCAACAATATCTTTAAAGTTTTGTTAGAAATTCTACCAAAAATAATTTTATATTTTAAAATAGTAAGTCATAACCTTAGTCATTTAACTAACATACATAAATTAGTAAAATGTTCTGATGTTAGCATAGTATTCCTAAAATTATTTTTCATTATTAGCATTGGAGTCATTTCCTTAGTTCAATATTCTGTGGTAATCGTTTTCTATTACTTAATACTAGAATAAAAATTATATATGCTTAATATGTTGAATTAAATTTGATTAAATTTACTTTATAAAAACCTTAAAAGTTCCACTCGTAATTAAATTCAGACAGCAGCTTATAAACTAACAAAATTTAATTCGGTTAAAAATATGGATAATAAAAAGAATCTCTGTATAATGGACATTTTAATGATATATCATCTTTTATTTTATTTTGAATATAATCAAAGTAAGATCCAACTTGTTTTCTGTAAATAACCACATGCAAAAATCCATAATGATAAATTTCTCTATCCAACGGATCATTTAGATAGCGGAAAAGCCAAAAATCTTTTCCTTAATTCTTCTTGAAATCTTCTTCTGATCTATTCAAATTATTGATTAAATTAATTTACAAATATTCAATAGAATTAAATCAATATAAATGCTTCAAAGCGGAAAAACTAATTTAAAAAAAAAATGTACTCTTATAGAAGCTTATACATTTAAATGTTATCCCAACTTTCTTCTTTCTTTTATTCATAAGAACAAATGTCAAGGACCAAATCATTTATACTATTTTGGTTCAGGTTTAAAGGCTCTTAATCAATTAAAACATATCTCGATATCGCTTTGTTTTGCTTGATCAATCTCAAATTTTAATAAAATTTCTTGCCATCTTGCTAAAATTTGAGAGAGAGCTTTCTCTAGATATTCGGTTATTGATTTTTAAAAAGAATTTCAAGCTCTAAAACTTGTAAAACACAATCAGTATAGCTAAAAACATCTTATTTTGTCTGTGTAATCTGAATCTATGGTAAATTGAATTAAATTTGAATCTCCTAAACTTTTGGTTGATTGTTTTTCATTTAAATTTTTTTTGTTATTTTTTATTAAAATCAAATAATTTCTATCTAAATTTTAGACAATCCTGCTGTTATTTCTTATTTATTCTATTTTAAAATTAGAATTTTAATTGATTTATTTTAGTAGTGTTAAAACTCTACTTGTTAATATTCTATCTTTTTAAATTATTATTAATTTGTTTTATCTTGTGTCTTACGTACGTATTTTTTGTGTGATTATAAATAAATAAATTAGTTAATTAATTTATTAATTAATTATCAACGGATTTGATTTTTAAATATCAAAAATATCTATTGATTGCTAATTTTGCAGCTCTCTAAGATTTCTTTTAAATTCAAAAAAGTAATGAATGGAGTGTTCAAAGTATCTTTAGATTTTATTTTAAAATTTCAATTAAATTAAACAAACTTCAAAAAAATAAACAAATTTAATGATATGTTAACAAATAATTCATAAAATAATTAATTATTTATTCAATAAGAGAAATGATAAAATTTATAGAATCACTCAAATTTAATTGAACATTATTTAATAGTTTATTCACTATATTCGAGAATGCTTGTTAAATAAAAATTATTTTCTTTTAGTAATATTCTTGAAAATAAATCATTTATAAATTAAATAATAAAAAATATATATATAAATTAATGATATATTTGTTTGTTTATATGTTATAATTATTAAAAAATATGAACAAAAATAATAATTTAAATTTTATTTAATTACATTTTACTATAAAATTATTTTTGTAATTTTATTCTTCAAAATAAATAATTAATTATTTAAATTTGAAATAATAAATAAAAAATCAAAAAATGAATGATATATTTGTTTGTTTATATGTTTTAATTATTAACAAATATGAACAAAAGCAATAATTTAAATTTGATTCAAATTATATTTAATTACCATTTAACTAAAATTATTTATTTTCCACTATATAAAAATAAATTGATGGTAAAATAATATAAATATTTTTGATTTTATTTTTATTATATCAATTAGATTTTGATAGATTTATATGAAATTATTATTTTTAACTAAATTATAAATTTTTATTACTTGATAATTGTATATATATCTTCATATATTTATTAATTAAGTTTAATATTATTATTATTTTAAACAAATTTTATTTTCAATTGAAAAATTTTCAAAAAAATTTTTATTATTTTATCAGATGAAATTTTATAGTATTTTATAGTCTATATAATTTTTTTGAACATTTTCTCATTAATTTATTTAATTAATTAATTAATTATTCACATCATTTTAACTCTTTGACAAATTTATTAACAATTTTGGTAACAAAAATATCTCTCAAGTCATCTTTAGTGACAATAAATTTATCATCTGGTTACAATTATAGTGAAGCAAGCATTTAATTTTCTTTTTTTTCAGCTCTTTCTTCTGCTTGTGATTCTATATTTAGCACAGGAAAGAAACTAGGCTGCTTCTCAACATTCTAAAACTAATATCTGCAGAAAATTTTTGGAACTGTTATTTCAATTGACTCTATTTATTCTGCTTTTTAAATTAATTCTTGTTTAAAGTTTTGATCATTTTTAGCATTTAAGTCTAATTTGTCTTTAAACTCTATTTTGGCTTTTTAATCTGCTTTTTCTAAGTTAATGCTTAGAACCAATTTATATTCGAAAGGGATTTATTCAAAGCACTCACTTTTGTTGTTAACACTCAGAATTTAGTTGTCTAAAATTTTTGGTTGGTTGTCAATTTAAAATAAAGACTAGTTTAGATCAGCTATTTCTTATAATTAATTTTTATCAACTTTGATAACTTTGCAGACTTTAATTAATTATTAAATAGAAATATTTTTCTAGTTTAATTTAATGTAGGTCTTTGCCCTTTACTCATTATGACTAAAACTCTTAATCAAGTTAGATATAATGTTTGACAAAGGAGTATACATATTTATATTTGGTAAGAAAATGTAGTCTTTGCACTACGTTTCATCCTTAAACATTAAGTGTTCTTTCTTTTATTCATATAATAGATCTCTTACTTAAAATACATTGTTGATATCTTTCTAATTTGCATCATTTATTTACAGATCAAGATTTAGCTTCACATTAAGGTTGCGACACAAATTTCTTATATCTTGTTTCTTCTCCTCTAAAGCAAGAGGAGTTTCACTGAATATATTCTTTATAGTCAAAAGCAAAGGTGCAAGTGGCATCTAATTTAGCAAATCTATAAACTAAACTTCATTATAAGTATCATAGACTTCAAAGTTTATTAAATTACTTTGCTATCTAATATTTTATTAATTAATTTAAATTCAATTCAATATTATAAATAAATAAATAATTTTCAACTTTTAAATAAAAAACCCTCTTAAAAACATATTCAATATATAAATATTTCAAATATAAAAATTTGAAAAAGAGGGTGGGTGTATAGATATTTTTTATGTTTGTTTTACATAATAAGGATTAATGCATGGGTTAAATTATTAATAAAAATAAGTAAATAAATATTAAATTTTACTAAAGCAATTTTTTGATAAGAGCTTCATTTTTTTCTCGAAGGATAACCTTTTTAACAATTTTTTGAGGGGAAAAATCGTCAATTAAGCAAGTTTTATTTGAGAGATCTATTTAAATATTGTATTTTTATTCAATTAATGAGTTTTTTAGTTCATATTTAATAACTAGCTCTCCTTTTTTAAGTTATTTTTTCTTACTGAGAATCAAATACAAATACTTCAATAAATCTGGGTTAGAAAAATCTATGTTAAGTATTTGATTGCTATAAAAAAATTTTTTAAAGCTTTCCTGACTAAAAAAATCAGTAAAATCTAAGTTTTTTTCATTTTAAGGATAGTAACATATCTAATTTAACAATAAAAATGAATAAATACATATTAATAAAGAGTTAGTTGGATTGTTAAAATTTATAAAATAAATACTTGATTAATTTTTGGACTGAGAGTTTCTTCAAGAAAACAAGTCTATCTATTTTAGTCAATTAAAATTTTGAATTATTCCTTTCTTGAACAATCCTTAAGTGTGTAGTCAATGATTATCGTTCCTTTTATGTAATCTTTCACTTATTAATAAAGAGTTTTAAGTAATTTATCAGTAAAATCTATTTGAAGAGAAAGGTTTTTTTAAAAATATTGCTCTATAATTTCTTATTAAAAGAAATATGTCAATTTTATTTCTCCCTCTCTGTATGTGAATTTAATCTATTGATTAAAATTAATTAATTAATTATTTATTTAGTTTTTAATTAATATTTACATCATTTATTTGTGTATTGAAATTTATAATTTTAGCATTTCCCTATTAATCAAATGAGAATTTATATTCTTCTCTTCTTCTAGAAGTCTTGCTTTTATAGTCAATAACCAAGATTCCATTTTTATCATTTTTATCTGCTTTTAATTCTTTCAATCTGTTTTCTAATATCTTCTTTATGTCATTAATATTGAAATCTTTCTCTTTTTCAATCATTTCAAGCAATAAAGACTTATAATCTTCTAGCATTTTTAATTTTTCCTTATCATTGAAATAGTAAGTAACCTAACCAAATAACAACCAAAACAAAAAAATCAATAAATATAATTTATTTTAACAAAAAGAAATTTACTTCTGATAACTCAGTTTCTTATTCTAATGTGCTAATATTCTGTTAATCAATCAATATATTGTATTCTTCTGATCTCAACTAATTTTCTAACTGGTAAATAAAAGTTAGTTTCCCTTTTTAGTATTTTTGAAGCTTTTGAAACAGCAACTTTTTCAATTCTTCATTTTTTAAGAAATCAATGTTTGAACTTGCTTTTTTATCACTCATTTATGTCCTTTCTAAGCATTAGTTTAAGATATTTTTATCTAAAGAATCCTTTAAATTAATACTTCCTTCGTTATATTTGCAAATCACCTTAAAAAAAAAATTAAATAAATGAATAAATGCAAATAAAACCTTATTAAATAATAAATTACTTCATTAATTTGAGAGTTGAAAGTATCAATAACACATGTTTTATTCTTTTGGTCTATCAAAATTTTCAACTACTTTTATAATTTCATGTTTTTAAGCTGATAATCCACAATGAGTTTTCCTTAATAGATGATTTTACATGTTTTCAATATTTCATACAAATGCTTCAAAAAATCAGGATTTGATAAATCTATGTTTAAGCTTAAATTCTTTTCAAAAACTTTATCAATTATGTTTTATCTAAAGTAGCTAGTTAAATTCTCTTTCCCTTTGAAGTATTCGTACATAACCTATTAATTAGTCAAATTTTATTATAATCCAATTTTTATTTTAATCAATAAAAAAATACTTTATTTATCTAAGAACTAGCCTTTGAATTTATAAAATTTTCTAAAATTATTAACTAATGCGATGGAAAATAGTATTGAACTCTTTCATAAAAAGCAACTAAAAAGGACTTTACAGTAATATCAGATATATCGCTCTCTTTTCTTCTCCTTTCAAAGAAGTTCAAATACCTTAAATAATTTAAAAAATAAATTAATTAGCTATAAAATAAAAATAATTTATATATGAATCTAATTTTGTATTTAAAATATAGTTCAATTCAGTTTCATTTATTTAATTATTTTAAAAACGAATTTAGCTTGATTAAAGTTATATTAAATTAAATAGTAAATCTATGAATTTAATTTTTAATTCAATTATAAATGATTCTTATCAAATAAAACAATAAATCAACTTCATTTAATTAAAATGATAAATTAATTTTATTTAGCTAAATAATAAATTAATTTTATTTTCAAATAAAGGATTAATTAATATTAATGAATTTTAGCTAAATAATAAATGAGTATTAAATGAATCTTATCAAATAAAACAATAAATCAATTTCATTTAATTAAAATAATAAATAAATAAATAAATAAATAAATCAATATCATTTAATTAAAATGATAAATTAATTTTATTTAGCTAAATATTAAACAAACTTTGTTAAACTAAATTATAAATAAAACTTTTAGTAAATAAATAAATGAATTTTATCTAACTATCTATCTAATTAAATAGTTCATTAATTTTATTTAACTAAGAAACAAATGAAATTAATTTTTAATTAGTTAAATAATTTTAATTAAAATAATTCATAAAATTAAAATTAAATAATAAAAGAAAATATTTTTTTACTTGAAAATGAGTGAGGCTTTAGTTGTAAAGCACTCTTAGGCATATAAAATACAAATGAGGAAAAGATCTAAGACGTAAAATTAGCCATCTAAATTAACTAAATATCTTAGTAGTTGTTCCTTCTCTTCTTTTTTGAGCTATTAAGGGAATAGGTCGTCAATAAGTGATAACGCTTATTCTAAAGGAACGGTTGAATTAATCTTCCAGAAAGTCAGTAAATTATAGTTGCAAGTGTCTAATTTTAAGTTCAAATCTGATTTAGCAAGTTCATCATAAAACATCATGTTTGAGTATGAGGGATAGTAAACCAATATGCCCTTAATAAAAAAAGAAAATTTTCAATTAAACACTTTCAAATTCTGATTTTTTACCTTTCCAACCTATGCTTAGTTAACCACATATTTCATATTTCTCTGATCTTCGGTTATAGTCTAAAAATTTTAAAATTAATTAATTGAATACAACTTATAAAATGTAAAAATTTATTTAGTTTTTGTAATAATTTTTACAATAATTGAATTAAAATGTAAAACTCTTGCTATTTTGTTTTAAAAATGTATTGACTACCTTTCCTAAGTTTTTGAAATAATCAAAAGACACTCTTTGAGTTTAAGAATAATTCAAATTAAAAGTATTGCAAGTCTACAACAAAACGCTAACTTCCAAAAAGTAGCCAATAGGTTTATAAGCAGATTTACCAGATAATTAAGTCTTTTCATGAACTAAAACATTTAATTTGATTGCCTGATCATAAAATAAATTATCTAGGTTAATTTGTCCAAAGTATTCTTTCTATTCATCCTAAATTCTAATTTAGATGCTTCCCAAAATTTGTTTCTTTTAAAAATATTAATAAATATGTTAATCAAACAAACATTTAAAATTAAATTTTTTTAAAAAATCAAAATTATTTTTATTCTCAATAAAGAAAATGAATTTGTTTTTGAGTTTATAATCTTACTCAAATTTTAATTTATTTATTTATTCTTTAATTAAAATTTTTCATTTTTTTTAAATTTAATAAAATTTGGATTAAATTGTAATTGACTTAGTTTTTTTATTATTTTTTATTAAACTGAAAATGAATAAATTTATTTGATTAATTTTCAATAAAAAAATTATTAATAAATTTTAGAAAAATATTTTTATCTGATTCTCTTTAAAGTAATTTTAAATCAAGCAGTTGAAAGATAAAATTTACCAATTAAAATTTCAATAGATCGATTTTAAATGAGAGATATCCGTCAAAGATTTCTTTAGAAATACGATCATATGTAATTGTTATTTTATTGTTGAAAGAGAGCTTTGCTGAAAATGAGTGAATAACTAAGTGTATTATTTGTGGATTGTTTGTCAAAACTTAGTAGAGTGGATGGTATACTATTTCTTAATCTTATGCTTACTTCTTTTCGTATATTATCTTTTTTTATAGAAAATATTTAATTTATTATTTTTCTTTACATTTTTAGATAAATAAATAAATAAACAATTAAATTATAAAAAAATTTATTTACTTGCAAGTCTTGCTTCATTTTTAAGTAATTTTGATAAAGCTTCTAAAAGCAGATATTTTTCATTTGAAAGAGATATTAATCTCTGAATAAGCTATTGCAAACGCTATATTTTACATAGAATTGTTCCATGACTGTTTCTTGGAATTCTATTTTTTCTTGCAAATAATCATCATCGAATTACTCTTAATTGTTGTCTTTTTAAAGGAATAATTTGTCAATCCATATATAGATCAACTCGACAAATTCGTTTATGTTCACTTCGAAATTGCAGTAATTCTAAATTTTTAATTTATTAATTATTTTTTTTATACTAAAAGACAAAAGAAATTATTACTTGAATGAGAAAAATAATGTCTTCAATTGTATTAGCATGACTGAGAGCATTCTTGAGCTTTGAAAGTATCACCATTGCTATAGCTATTAGTATAAAGCTGATTTCTATTTACTGTCTCGATATCTCTAAGAATATAACATCCCAGATTCTGAACAAAAGCTCTCTTGAAAATAGATTTGAGTAAAGAGAAAGAAAAGCCTTCTCAAACAGAAAATCTGTATTTATATATAAAGAGTCTAAATGTTCCCAAAGCTCCCTTATATAAAGTTTCAAGCAAAAGTTTAATATAAAAAGATCATCGATTATTTCTTTTGCTCTGTATTTGGAGCAAATGTAGTATTTCAAGCAGTGTCTATAAAAGCAATAAAGAGTCCAAAATACATCAGGTAAAATGACTTTAAAATCTATTAGATTTTAACTTATTTTGCTTGTTTAATTCAATGTTATCAGTTTATCTATTATGTCAATTAATCCTTGATGGTAGTTTATCATTGGAATTCCTATTTTTTCTAGAGAATATTTCTTTCTTTAGATTTTTCTTTTCTTTATTTCAACCATTCTATCCTTGTCTTCAACCTTCCCTTTTTGTAAATTTTAAACCCTTCTATCAAAACTTAAGCTCTCTAGGAAAATTAAATCTTTCACAATTTGACTGATTTGGTTAAATCTTTCAAATGTTGTTTCTTTAATGAAACTGTTTTCAAGTCTTTTACTTAAATCTAAGAATAAATGAGGAGTTATGTGCACACAGTGATAATGACCTATTTTTTAATAAATTATTCATTTATTTATTTATTTTGGATATTTTCATTTCAAATTTAACATTTTTTAATATTTTTTTTGTAATCTCTAATAAAATTTAACAAACTATATTAGAAGTTTTAATTAGAATTTATTTAATTTAAGCTAATATTATAATTTATCTGAAAATCTGAATATTAAAAAATATTAAATGTGAAAAAGTTCAACTCAAAACATTAAACTATGAAAACAATTTAATTTTTGACAAAGGATTTAGAAATGAAAATAATAAGGTAGATGGATGTAAAAATATTTCTCTTGATTTATTGAAAGAGTTTAAGAAAATAATAAAAAACATTGAGCTTACTTATTCTCTTAATATAACAATAGAAATCTTCTCTCTTTTAGAAGATGTAATCTTGTTTATCTTTCTGGTTGCTATCTATGATGACTCCGTAGCTCTTAAGAGCTGCATTAATGCCTTACTTTTTAGATTTTTCTTTAATAGAGTTGATGAGAATACGGTAATCTTGGCTATTTTAGACTATCATTTTGAGTTTTTTTTTGACTTCTGCTGCTTCAATGTCAATTTCTTTGTCATAAATTTCTTTTAATTTAGCATAATCATCCTTTAAATTTGTGATATTTTAACAGAAATTAGTCAAAGATTAATAAGACTTTTCTATTTTGTCAATCAAATAACTGAGCTCGTACCAAGTTTAAAATCTATTTTATAGAGGAATTCCTTCTTTGCACATAGCCTGAAAATCATTCAAAATTTCAACCTAAAAATTAAATAAATTAGCAAATGCAAAAATTAAAATAAAAAATTACATCGTTTCTATTGCCATTAATGCAGTTTTCCATCTGTACCCAGATTTAGTTATGGAGTTTAGATTAAATCATCAGTTTTGTTGTTTCGCTGATGTACATAAAATGATAAAAAGTTCTTATATTAGCTTAGTATTCAGAAAATGATTTCAAATTATCTGCTTAAATGTTGTTGTTATGCAATATTCTAGGGATATCTGTCTAAATTTGATAGAACTGAAGACAAATTAAACATCAATTAAATAATAAAAATCCAATTTTACTTTATAATGATCTAAAAAGTTCCATTCACAATTAAAAACTTGTAATAATCCATATGCAAGTTCAATTTGCTCTGGATTAAAGTAAGGCAGATAAACCTTTTCATCAAACATTGGGCATTTCAAATGCAATTAATTCTTGATTCTTTCTTGAAGATAATCGTAATACGAGTTTTAATCATTTTGAAATACACTCACATGCAAATAGGCAAAGTATGTGTTTCCATTATTATTTTATGGATCTTTAAGTTAGCAAGTGAGCCAAAAATCTCTTCCAATATTTTTCTTCTTTTTGTTAGAATTATTGTAGTCTTTCAGATGTTCATTATACCTTTTTTCATATTAACAATTTATCATTTAATAAATTAAAAAAGTCAAAATTTTTTATACAGCAACTTGCAGCTGCCCCACTCACGCTCAACCTCTTTGTCATTTTGTTGTTCTTTTGTTTTTATACAAATTTCGAAAGTGAAATTGTTCTCTTCAAATTTAATTTCTTCCATTCCATTTTTTTTTGAACTAAATTGTTTGATTTTTACATTTGAAAATTAGCATGGCTTTTTATCTTTTAAAACATATTTGGTGATTCCTTTTTCAGCCAAAGTATTCATTTCAGGTCCTGTATTTAATTGTTTCAACTCTTAATTTGGAATTATGTTGTCTTTGTTTAAAAGGATAACATATTCTCTATTACTCAGCTCACAAATATATTGATATTTCAAGAAAAACTCTTTCTAAAGAGGATGTTCATTATCAGGAGATATAATTTCTAGTTCTAAAATTTACAAGACTTTTGGTGATAATTAAATATTTTCTCCTGCCGAACTCTGTTCAATTTCTCCTTTCAAGTTTTTTTCTCCAACATTTATTTGATAATTTTAACTTTAATTGAATTACTGTTGCTATGACTTACTATATTTATCTTCATTTTAATTCTTTTTTCCAAATTTATTTCCATCTTAGATTAAAACTTATTATTTATTTTCATTTCTTTATATTAAGTAATCATTTTAAAAGCCTAAACTTTCTTGCATTTGTATTTCTTTCTAAGTCTAAATTCTACTCAAATCAAGGTGATTTGTATCTGTTTTCTTAAAGAGATCAATGTAATTCTTATCTATTTCCTTAAGACTTCTATCATCTACGTCTAAGCTATCTGAGTTATATTGCGAGCTTTGCTTGAATGGTCTTTTAAAAATATTATCAAAATTAGGCTCTTCAATGTTGGGATCTTCAATTATATTCAGCAAGGGCTATTCGTTTTGTCTATTAGATGACGATATAGTCGACGTTATTCCCTCTTTATATTAATCAAACAAATAAAATTTAAAATAAATGATTTTCAAATCATTTTATTAAGAAAGACATCTAATAAAATAAAATATAAAATATACATTACAATTAAAGCTTTTCATTTAAACCAAAGGCTATTCTTGAAAGGTACTTTGACCAACGCTATTCTTTTTTATCTATAATTGCTTGGTTGCAGGAGACATATATTAATTATACCAAGACTAAATGAATTTTATTTTGAAATTTTTAATACAATCAGAGAACAGCTATTTAAGACTATAATCTTTCTCAATCAACAAGTAATTGTTCTCTTGATCGACTTTTTAATCCTTAAGCGTTATTTCTTTAATCTATTCATTTAAATTTATCTCCTTTTTGCTGCCATTATTTATCTCTTTTTGACTACCATTTAGGCTTTTCTCTTGTTCTATCTAATTTTTTGGTGTTTCTTCTTTCTAATCATTTTATGTTTTTATTTGTTTTTTCTCTATTAATTGCCTCACAAGTTTTTTTTAATTGAAAATTCTTTCAGCTCTCTTAAATATCAAGAAATAAATAACTTTTTCTGCATTGTCTCTTGGCAAGTAGACATAAAAGCAATCTTCACTCTCCTCTGATTTCCTTTATGAAATATGAAAAAAAGAATTTAAAAAAATCATTTTAATAAATGCAAATTAAAAATAATTTAATTGAATTTATCTTTTTATAATAAACAAATTACTTGATTAATACTCTTCTTTTGCATTCTTTTATTTCCCATTTCAAAGTATTTTCTTTCTTTTTAGCTTTACTATCTTTTCTTTTAAGATCATCCTATTAAGCCTTTTTATTATTGACTTCTATTTCTTGATTGTTCATTTATTTATCAAATTCTTCTCCGTTTTCGTTTTGAAACTCAAATCTGAAAACAACTTCCCCTTTCCATAAATATTCTATTTTTCCTGGCTTTTTCTTAGACTCTACTCGAAAACCACCTTCATCAAGAAGTTCTGCCTTTCTCATTCTTGAAGCCTTGCCTATGCCCAGAAAGCTTTTAGCCTTCTTTTAAAATTTAAATTGCTTTAAGCTTTCAACATCATATTTATGGTTGTCTGTATGCTTTTTTGGTATTATTAATTTACTCATGTCTTCTTAAAAAAACTTGCTGTATTTTTTATTGTCATCGTCCATCTTTTCCTTTATAATTATTTAACTGATAGTCTAGAAGTATTTCTCTATCGTTGCAATGTTTTTTCTTTCGTCAGACTTCGGATTCTCTTGAATTTTTCTGATAAATTTCTTATTGATCTCGAGATATATTGCCCTTTCAATAAACATCAAATACTAATATTATTCATCTGAATCCAAATTTTTCACAAATTCTGGCAACCAATTATCTTTAATTAATATCCCATTAACTTATAGAGGTAGAATATTTATTTTGCTCAGAATCTACTCAATTATCTCTTTTTCTCCTTTTTTTTTGTAATCTTTGATAAGGTCATCAATTTCCTTTAACTTCTTATTATCCATAACCTATCTTGATACTCTGCAAAATATTAAGTCTACTATTCAATATCTATGCGCTTATTATCTTTCCCTAAATTATTTATCTATTATAGATCCTAATAATGCAAGCTAAAATAGTTTAAAATATTCTAAACGAATAAATTGATAGATAGATATATAAACTTGCTACTATTATTAATTATTTTATTAATTAATTAAAATTTCAAAAATATAAAATATTGATTTTTGAATAAAAATTCAAAAAGATTAACAGTATAATAAATATTATGCAAATCATTAAAGATTCTATTATTAATAAAATACATTATTCTAAATATTTCTAATACTTAAGATATTCTATTTAGCCACTTCTGTATATATTTATTCTTTTTATAAATATAAACACACAAATTTAATATAAATTTATTTAAAAAAGTGATAATTGATTGGATTAATAACTTTCAAACAATTTTAAGTCATTTTATTTTTCATTATATCCTATTTTCTATTTTGTTGAAAATTTAAATAAAATATTTATAATATAAATTGTTGAATCAAAGAGTGGACTCTTTAATTTTTAATAAAATTATGAAAAACAAAAATAATAATTTTTGTTGTTATAATATTAAAGGGTGTATTCGATAGTGTAATAATAAACAATTTATTGAAATTCTCTATCCTTTCAACATTAAATTTCTTTTATTGTAAATCGAAATGGTATTTTACTCTATCCCCCTTAATATCATCAAAATAAAATTTTAAAAAAGTGAATATTAAAAGTGTTAATCATATAAAAATAATTAATTAAATGAATAATTTTCTATAAATGAGAATGAATAAATTGTTTTTTTGGAATTTTATTTGAAAAAAATGTATTATAATTATAATCTTTAATTAATAAGATAATTAAATTGTTTAATTTTTTGCAGATTTTTTTAAATTCTCTTTACCAAGAAAAGAAATTATTGGTTTAATTTAAAATAATTTTTCTAAATTTGTTTTATTCGATTTCGGCAGTAAAGTAAATTAATTTATTTTATTTCTTTTTTCTTAAAAAAATTAAAAGCTAAACAGAAAAACATTCTTAATGAAACTTAATTTAATAAATTTGTTATATTGAAACCTTATTTTATGAAAAATAAAACATTTGTTTTGCATTTTTAAAAAATATTGTTTACAAATTAAATTTATTGTATTAATTTCTGATAATATTTTTAATAAAATAAAAATTTCAATAATTTTATTGAATTATTTTAGTTTAAATAAATAAAATTCATCACTTGTTGTAAGAATTCTTGTTAAGTAGAATACGATTTCTTACTTATTGAACTCTAGAAGCAATTCTTAAATTGTACAATATATCTTCATATCCGAATTTAGTATCTTTTTTATTAGGTTTTAATATATCTTGATTAATACTTACTCAAATTTATAATATTAATTACTTAGATTACAAATCATTAAGCCTCTTGAATTTCCTCCAAGAGAATCTTGCATGATTCTAGTTAGTTTTGAGTCTCTATAAGGTATATGGAAAGAATTTTCATTTGTAAGAGCAACAATAACATTATTAAAGGCTGCCAATGTTTTAGAGAAATAAGGTTTTTCATGAAACAAGACTTCATTTTATTTCTATAAACTAATCGAATTTTTATATCCTTCAAATTCAATGATTTTAAGTGAGCTCATTTATTCAATACCTGATGATTTATTAATTTACTAAACAGAAATCTCAATAAAAAAAAATTATCTAGATTACAGTAAAGAACATAATGTTATATTTGTAAGGTTTTTATTTATTCCATTCTATAATACATCCAAACACTCTTAAACACTGGTAATTTGCATTTTGGTTAATTTTTCAATATAAATTTGGTCTTCAATTTATTTAATTCTTAAATTTTCGCTTTTATCTGCAAGCAAATCTTCTAACCTTTCTTAATAAAGAGTGTAAATACTTATATATGCATTGTATTCTTCATTTTATTATTTCTATTCTTCATTTGATTCATTGAAATTCTTAATTTTACTAAATATCTAATCAATAGCTCTATAAACAATTCCTTTTTTTCCCTCATCTTATTTTATTCCAAAAAGGGTATAACTTTTACCAGAACCTGTTTACCCAGCTGCCCATATAGTAGAACTCACTCCTTAAAACAAACTATCTACTAAATGAGAGACTGCATTATTATAAATTTGCTATTATGTTGATTTCTCATCAAATATAGTATCAAAATGAAAAGTAGGTTTTTGTAATGTTTAGTTGAATTGATAATTTATAGAAATAGAATTCTCGCTTTAATTGATACACACTTAATCCTCATTATTATTATTATTATTATTATTATTATTACTATTATGTGTTTAGATTTAAGGTATTTTTCTGACAATAACTCTTATGAATTCTTCATAATTTTGTTAATCTGCTGAAATCATTGAATATAAAATATACAAGATTAGATAATATAAAAAAATAGTTGATAATTAATGTTTTGATCAGAATTTAATATCATTATAATATAAAGAGAAAGAATATTTGGTGTGTTGTAAGTTAAAATATTTATCTTTTGATAATTTAAAATACAAAACTCTTTCATTAGAAATTAACAAAATAAATACCTAAAACATCTAAATTAGTAAAAAAATAAATTATTATTAAATTACAAAATAATTTTTAAAATATATTTTATTTATATTATAATTACGATTTAATACTAAATTTATGTACAATAAATTTTATTTATTGATTTCTATATTTACTATTATAAAGGCATGTAATTAGTTAACTTTAAAGCATATCAGATATTGCTATAATTTTCAAAGCTTTTTACAAAATATTCTTCAGAAGTTTCATCTGTTTCTAATATACTCTCAAGTTCTTTATCATTGACTTTGCATTATTAAAGCAATGATTAGAGCTTAGCAATATATTTTTAATCTTGCCATTTTTAGATAAGAAAAGTAGGCATGAAAACAGACAATTGGTCATATCATTATAATATAATATAAAGAAAGAATAATTGGAGTGTTGAAAGTTAAAATATTTATTTTTTGATAATTTAAAATGCGAAAAAATCATTCATTAGAAATTAACAAAATTCCTAAACAGCTAAATTAGTAATAAATTAAATTAATTTTAAATTACAAAATAATATTTAGTATATTTTTTATTTATATTATAATTACAATTTAATACTAAATTTATATACAATAAATTTTATTTATTGATTTTTTATGTTTACTATTATAAAGGCATTTAATTAATTAACTTTAAAGCAGATCAGTCAGATATTGCTATAATTTTCAAAGCTTTTTACAAAATATTCTTCAGAAGTTTCATCAGTTTCTAATATACTCTTAAGTTCTTTATCTTTGACTATAAATTATTGATTATGCAATGATTAGAGCTTAACAATATATTTTTAATCTTGCCATTTTTAGATATGAACAACAGGCATGAAAACAGATTATTGATCAATATTTTGGTTTATATAGCTACAAAAATATGTAGGACTATTTTAGGTTTAACCCATATTTCTTTACTATGTTAAGACATTAATAATTAAGGTATATTTACTATTTTATTAGCCTTGAGAATTCAATTTATTTGCCTAATAAATCATTAGATTGCTCAATTGCTTGTGTTCTTTTAATTTATCGAAATCATAAAATGAATTTTATTTTGGAAAATTTATTCTTTTGTTAGGACCTTCTTCGATAAATATTTCATAATCAAACTTGAAGTAGTTTTCAGAGTGAATTTTAACTCCATTTCCTCTGTCAAAAACAATAGCCCTTATTTTATTATCCAAAACTAAAGCCTTTAAAATACTATTTGCAATATTTTCTATTCTAGAGTAACAATTTATACTTGGTAAATATAATTACAACTCAGAGTTGTTATTATAAATATTAATTTCTCTTGGTTTAAAAAATACATCTCTTACAAATATTGTTTTGCTTTAATACTAAAACTCCTAATCAACTTAGATTTTCACTTGCAACTATAGGTTTAAATTTATGCTCAGATTTCTTGTATCTCTTTCTACACTCAAAGGTATTTCTATGTAGCTATTCTTTACAGTCAACAATAATGGAACAAGTGGCATTTAGTTTAGCAAATCTACAAACTCTTATTCTGTATAGGTATCGTAAACCTCAAAATTAATTTAGTATTTTTATAGTCTATAATATTTTATCATAAAATAAATTTAATATATTTAACATTTAACTGAAAAATCTTAAATTAATTCACTTCAATTTTAATCATAATTGAAATTTTATTTTAATTTTACCCTATGAATTTATTAAACAATTTATTTAATTAGAAATATTATGATTTTATTTTTAAAAAGAGGGGATTTTTTACTAGAACTGAGAGAAAAGAAAATTAAATAATAATTTTAATTTAAAAATAATTTACTTGAGAAGCCTTTGAAAGAGTTCTTGCTTTTTATCTTTCAAACTCATATTAATTCTTTGTTTTTCAAGCAAGGACTTTTTAATTATGAATGTTTATTTCGATTCATCAACTGTGAGTTTAATTTTTTTTTATCTTTAAAAGGATTTTTGTTGATAATCTATAATTAGTTTTCCATCACATAATTTTTTTTGTTAGAATTTATTTTCTTAAATAAACTTAAAGTACAATATTTTAAGTAAATCAGGATTAGATAAGTCTAAATTAAGAAAGAGATTTTTTTCAAATACTTTATCAAAGATTTCTTGTTTGAAAAATTCAGTAAAATCAATTTGCTATTTGTTGGTTTAATCGAAAACGAAAACAACCTAATTCAAAAATTAATTTAGATTTTTGTTTATTTATATTAATTAATTTACTTTGTTTATTTAGGAAACTGCTTTCGACTTGAAGTAATTTTCTATAGCAATTACATGGTGAGAAGGGAAATAGTACTTAATTTTATCATAAAAGCCAATTAGAAATGATTTCACAGTTAAATCAAGGATTGTATTTTAGCTTCTTCTTCTTTCAAACAGATTTAAATATCTAAGAAAATAACTTAGAAATTTAATAAAAATAATTAATTTATTTACTTAAAAATCAATGAAGCTTTTGATGGGAAAGATTCTTGGGAATAAATAATGCATATTAAGAACAAATCTAGGAGATAGAATTAGCCATTTTGAGATGTAAGCTTGCTGATCAGCTATTCTTGCTCATTTAGATTGAATTTCTAAGGCAGAATTTTATCAATAATAACTTTTGAAATATTTGAAGGTATATAAGAATTTATCTTCCACTAATTTATCATGTCAACATTGTAAAAATCTAATTTAGATTTATAAACATTAGTTTGTAGTTCCTTTTCAAATAAGATATTCGGGTACAAGGGAAAATATTAAATTTCTACTGACTTCTTTATTTAATATAAAATAAATTTATTTTATTTCTATAAAAATTAAGTGTTATTTATATATTTACCTCTTTATTTAATTAGTGTTTGTAAACTAAATAATGTGGGCTCTTTTAATCTTCAGTGATTTTCTTTTTTTCCAATTAATAATAAAATTTTGAATGAAATCTCAAATTAATTTAAATCAAAAATTAATAAAAAATAATTTTTCAAAGAAAAAGATTTCTTAATTTTTTTAGATTTACTTTTCCAATATTCTTTAAGTAATAAAAAGAAACTCTTTTTGATAAAGACTGAATGACATCATAAGAGTGACAAGTTTATACAATCACACTGCATTCAAGTGCATAGCCAGTTGGGACATAGTAACTTTGATTAGCTTTGATAATTCTTTCTTGCATCTAGATATTTAATTTGACAACTTAATCATAAAGCAAATTATCAACCTCAATATAGCCTTTGTACTGCTTCTTATTCTTTTTTTGATTTCTATCGATGTTTATTAGATTAGTTTTTTAAGTTTCTAAATTGTTTTCATCAATCAAAATAGTCACTTTGCCCAATGTTTTATCCTTAAATAGTTTTAATTTTTAAAACTATGAAAATTAATAAATAAATTTACTTCTTTGAATTTTTTGCTGTCTATTTAAAACTAAATCCAATTATCTTCATCCTTTTATTTTTTCGATTGATAATAAATCACCTTCGGTTTATCTCCATCAACAGAAGTTTTATAAATAAATTGCATCTCGCTATTTTCTGCTAATTTCTTTGAGCAACAATGAACAACCACATGAACATAATGAGGTTGGTTAGTTAGAACGCCATAAATCTATTCAAAATCTTAAAATTCCTTTGGAACTTTCTTTTCATCAAATATTTCCTGTATTTTACCAAATATTAATCAAATTAATTAAATTAAATTAAAAGATATAAAAAAATAAAATTAATCCTTAATAACTAAGTAAAATAATCCAATAAATCTATTGCTAAATATTTTTTTAAATTGAAATCAAGTAATAACATTCAATAAAATTAAAAATATTCCTAAAATTAAGTTAATATTTTATGAATGAATTGGTATAAAAATAAAAATATCTTAATAACTTAGTAAAAAATCCATTAAAGATATGAATAAATATTTATTTTTTTAATTGAATTCAAGTTCTAATATTCAATAAGATTAAAAATATTCCTAAAATTGAGATATTTTATTAATGAATTAGTTAAAAATCAAAAGAAAAAGTTTATTTTCAATATAAAATTTTGATAAAAAAGATAAAATTTTCAAATAAATTGAAGATATTTAGGAAAAAAACTGAAATCTACTGGATTGTCATTAAAAATATAAAAAGAAATACTTTGGTATAATGACAGAAGAGTAATTTTTGTAACAATTTAGAACAACTGCTATCATAGTAAATTAAATATTAAAATTTATAAATGTAAATTCAATTAAATTTATTCAGAATTTTCAAAAATTTAAAATAAAACTAATATGGGGAGAATAAAAAAAATATTTATTCCAATCAAAACAAAATAAATAGATTTTAAATCAATGAAATAATATTAAATAAAACACATTATTTAATTCAAAACTTTAATTTAATTAAAAATTTTATTTCAATTTATTTTAAATTTAAAAATTTTTATGAATAATTAATTATACTTAGAAAAATAATTCAATCTAAGGTTGAATTTAAGGTTTATTAAATAATAAAAAGATTAAAGAAAAAGAAATTAGATTTACTTGAAGGTTGTTTTTCATGCCTTAGTATTTTTCATAGAGAGTGGAAAAAGGTATGTTTTTAAGCTTTTACAAATGCTTTTCGTCTTTTTCATCTGATGAAACAGCTTTCTTTTCTTTGGTTTATTTAACTTATTAATTTTGATCTTTTTATGTTGTATTAAATTGCTCAAGGTAGTCTTCCTAAATTTAAATTTTTTCAGTAAGATATTGATCATCGAAAACGTCGTCTTTGCTTCCTTCGTTATTCTAATAGAAGATTTTATCTATCCAAAAGTATATATTTTTGATGAATTCATTATAGTTTGTTTCGAAGTTGCAGTAATTCTTTATTTAATTTGAAAATTAAAGTTTATTAACAAATTAAATAAATTTACTCTGATAATTATGGTAACGTCATCGATTGAAGTAGCCTTTAAAAGTATTTCTTTGAGATTGTACAGAATAGTAATAGCAACAGAAATTAGGATCCAATTAGGTTTTATTTTTTTTCTAAATATCTCTAAAAATATAATGTCCCATATTCTATACAAGAGTTCTCTAGAAAAAAGATTAGCAAACATAGATAAGAAAGCCTTTTCAAAAAGAAAGTCTGTATTGATATAAAGCTAATCTAAGTAATCCCACAAATCCTGAATAAAAATCTTAAAACAATAATTTAAGACAAAAAGATCATTTATAATTTGTTTCCCTTTATACTCAGAGTTGATATAATATTTAAGACAGTCCTTATAAAAGCAATACAGAGTCCAAAATACATCAGATTATATCTTATACTCTTGCAGATTTTTATTTGGCTTATGCTTTTTATTTAAAGTTATCAATTTATCCACAATATCTATAAGACCTTAATGATATATGATAATAGAAATCTATTTTAAAGTAGCCTTTTATTACGTTTCTTCTGCCTATTTAGAGTTATAATCTAGTATTCCAACCAATATTACGTCCTTTATAATCTAAACTATCTAATTATATCTGCCAGACAGTTATACCTTCGAAATCAGTTAACTTTTAAATCTCATATTCAAATCTAAAAGCATTTAAGGAACCATATGAACGCAAGACGCATGACCTATGTTTTTACAAATTGTCAATTTAAAATTAAATTAAAAAATTTTGAAATTTCTTTCAACTTAAATCATCAGCAAAATAAATTTGTAAATAAATTGTAAAACATTAATAAAAATTTTATCAATCAAAAGCTATTTTGATCAATAAATCAATAAATTTAATTTATTTTCAAATTAATAATTGATTATTTAAAGTTATTCAAATAGAATAAAAAAATTATTTATAAAAAAAATCAATGACTAATTGATAAATAAATTGTTTTTTTTAATAATTAAATAAATTGCTTTTTTAAATAAAATTAGTGATATAAATGTAAATTTTGTAACACCAAAACTAAAAATTAAATTGAAAAATCTGAAAGATTGATAAAAATTAAAAGTATAAATATTATTAATTAATTGAAAGATGCTTAAATAAATAATAAATGCATTAATATTGTTAAAAAAATAATTAATTTGATTAGTTAAAATTAAAAAAGCATGAAAGAATGAATGAAATATTTACTTATTTCTGAAATAATTTTATAAACTTTTTCTCTCTTTTTAAATACTAAATTGTTTATCAATTCTTGCATTTCATCGTGCTTCATACTATAAATATCTGATGGCCAATTTTCTTTAATTATTTACTCGATTACTTAGACATTATCACTTAGATGATGGATATCTGAACAAAAGTCGTTCAAAGTGAATACTATATCTCCAACATTCTTAAATAGACTTGAGTTGTTAAACCAAATTGCAAATCTATTTTCAACAGGAACTCCTTCTCTACACATTTCGTAAAAGTCTGAAATGTATTATCCCTTTTTAATAATTAGATTCTTTATATAAGAAGAAAACAAGGTTGTTAATTGGCTACATTTGGATTGCTTTCGTAAAGCTTGTCTTCGAATTTCAACCAAATCTATTACTAAAAAGTGAGATAAGCCAAACACTTTGATGCTTGACTCATGTACATAAAATAATATAAAGTTCTTATATCAGCATAGCACTAAGAAACACCTTTTAATTCCTCCTAAGTTCGCTATTCTTATTCTCTTTCTTCATACTAAATTGAAATTTAATTAAAATAAATATCATTTTTCATTCAAAAATGAATAAATAAATAAAATGAATTTACTTTATATTCTCCTAAAAAGTTTTTTTCATATTCAAATACAGACAGAAGGTTATAAACAAGCAAAATTTATCCTGGTTAAAAATAAGGCAAATTTACACAATCATTATAAAAAGGGCATTAAAAAAATAATTAGTTCTTTTTCAGACTTTGCAGGTATTCAAAATATGTTTTATACTATTTATCAAATATTATTAAATGCAAGAACGCATAATGCACATCTCCAGATTATTCCCATGGATTTTTAAGCTAGCAGATAAGCCAGTAATCATTACCTTCCACATTCTTAAGATACTCATTGAACCTATAAAATAAATTTAAGGTAAATAGAAAAACAAAAACTAAAAATGTATTATGATGATTTAAATTAATGAAAACTCTTTGATTACCCTAATTTGTAGATACCCCAATTTTCGTCATCGCTGCAATCTTCTGATTTAATGCATATCTCTAAGCTAAATATATTATCGTCTATGTCTAAGTCGTTTTCACTCCTTTTTCTGAATATTTCTTATGAAATGCAAAAGGGATCGTTATTTTGCAGTTTACACTTATAAAAACAGTCTTACTCATCAAGCTTATAAAGATCGATTTAACTATTTTATATTTGATATTATTCATCAAGCTGGAGCACTTTCTAAGATTCTCCTTCTATGCAAGAATATTGATACTTTAAAAAGAAAGAATAATTATGATCCAGTCTTTCATTTGAACTTGGAGAAAATATTTCTACTTCTAAAACTTAAATTGCATTTTTTTCTATTTAAACTTATTCCTATTAAAATTTGTATTAGGTTTCGTTAATCAAATCATCTCCTAAATTTTGAGCAAATTGGGAAGTTTGCTGAAAAGCCTTCAAATTTTCTTAAATTTATAAGGACTGTTTATTTTTCATATACCATTCCTATTCTTCTCTTAACCTTTAAAGCTTTTCAAAATCAATTTAATTCAATTACTCCTCTTCTTAAAGTCCAATTTCTTTTAGAGATATTATATTTCCATCACTCTTAAAAATATTATTTGCTTTTTTTTCTTCCTTCTCTTGCTTTTGAATTTAATTTAACAATTATTGCTTTTTATCAACTTTAGTTTCTTTTTCTTTTTCTCTATCATTTCTATCAATGATCTGAAAATTATTTGAAATCTCTTTCATCATAGTCTCCTTTTTGACAATCTTTTCCTATTATATACCTACAATTATATTAACAGACAATATTTAATCTATTTTCAAGCATTTTTATATTTCTTTCTAATTAATTTTTTTTATTTTTGCAATAATAAAATACAATTTTATTTAAATTATTCTTGAATTCTCCTATAGAATTTTCACAATAGAAATAAAAATTTTAGTTAATTAATAAATGAATTACTTTTTTCCTTCTCTTTAGGTTCTTCTTTTGTTTCTTTAAATTTAGTTATTTCATAACAATAATTAACCATGTAATTTTAATACCATTGATCTATAATCTTTTATTTGAATTAAAAGACAATATTTCCAAACAATTCCGATAAAGATTTATTATTAGTGAATTTTAAACTCAGCATGGCTTTTCTGTATATCAGGTAACTTTTTACTTGCAAAGCGTACTTATCAGGAAGATAAATGTAAGTACTTTCTTAATCTTTGTATTATTCCCTAATATTAAATTATTTGTATAAAAATACTGTATTTCTTTTAAATTATTTGCCATTTCAATTTATTTATTTATAAAAATTAAAAAATTTAGAATTATTTCAATTAAAACATATTAATTGGAAAAAGTAAATTAAATTAGATTTTTCACAGTATCTATCTAACTATATATCTTTTGTTTTTAATTAAAATCAAAAAATCAATGAAGATAACTCAACAATAAATTTTGAAGAGTTTGCAATTTATTTGTAAAATAAATATAAAAAAGTATTTATTTTTATATTTACTTACTTGATTTAAATTCTGTAAGATTCTTTTCCAATCCATTTTAAAGAACTTTGGATTTCTTAATCTTTAGAAGTTTTATCCTTGGTTTTTCTTTTTTCTTAATGATCCTTTAATTTTTCATTTTCATACTATTCTAAGGTTTCGAAGATAAAATCTACAGGTTTTTCCCATTTGTACAGTTTACCATCACGAATCTTTTTTGATTTAACTATAAAACCACATTATTTAGGATCTTTAAGAAGTAGAGCGTCTCTGATTCCAGAAGACGTTTATATTCCTAAGATCTTTTTTTGCTTCTTTTGAAAAATAAATTTAAGAGTTTCTATTTAAGCTTGTGTAAGTATTTCTGAATCATGTTTATTCTATAATTTTTAAATTTGGATATCAGAATGGTTTTCATCCTTGATTTCGCCTTAGACAATAATTTGTTTAATGCATTCAAAATAATTATTTATTGTTTCAATATTGTTTCTATCATAATTATTTTTGTTATCTTTGATGTTTTCAATCTTTTTGAAAATCCTTTATAAGATAATAGACCAAAAAATATAGTAATAATATTTTCCTTCATCAACTTGACCATCTCTTTATTACAAAACTTGTAACCAATTTAAATTTATTTCCAATCCTTTCACCCTGCGAGGTAATTCATAAATCTTTTAAAGAATCTCTTCAATAACATCTTTTTATCCTGTAGTTTTAAACTTTTCTTTTAATTTTAAGATTTCATCATAAATTTCCTCTTTTTAAGAATAATTTTCAGTCTTTTTTGATAGTTTCATAGAGCTTTCATTCTAATTTATATCCATCTTTTACAACTAATTCTAAGTAGATTTATTAATTATTGAGCTATTGTCGAAATTAGTTTATTTTTTAAAATTTTGCGAATTTTAATTTTTGATACAAAAATAATTCAAATTATTAACAGACTAATCAATATTTTACCACATTAAAATAATCCTAAAATTAATATATTAATTCTAATTTAATTAAATGTAAAACAAATAAAATTAATTTAATATATTTTCTATTAAACAATTGTTTTGCTCTAATCAAAATTATTTTATTTTCTTTCTAATTATTTCTGATTATCACTCACTCACTTACTAAAAATTATCTAGAAATAAATAGAACAATAGTGAATGAATATATCAGAAATGTATATTAATATCCAAATAAAGATAAATCTTATAATTATTCATAAATCTTAAACTAATTATTAATCAAAAACAGAAAACCATAAGAATTAAAATTAATTTAACTTTTTTTGATGAAAAGTCATTTTGCTTAAATAAAATTTTTTATTTTTGTAATATTTTGTTGATTTTTTTGCTTTTATCATTGCTTATAAATATTTTAATTTAAATATATAAAAAAATATGAGATTCTGATCATAAATAAAAATTTTGAATAAAAATATATCTACTTTAAAAGAGTTAAAATGGTTTTTTTTAGATAATATTCTCTACAATATATACTTAAATTTAATGACTAAAATCAAATAATACAATTTCTTTTTAAATTTTCTTCATTTAAACATTTTTAACATAGAAAAATAAATTTAATGATAAAATTAGATAAACGATTATCAAAATAATACAAAATAAATCTGCAGAAAAAGATATTAAATTAAAATCATTTTCTAAACAACTTGATAAAAAGTATCTTTTTTTATTTCAAAAATAAATAAAAGTTGATATAAACATTTTAATTTTAAAAGCTAATCTTATATAAAAATAAGTTGAATAATTATTTCCTAATTTATTTTAGAATTTTTAAAATTTGATAATTTAAAGCTAATTATAAAATGAAAAAGAAGCAAATTAATTATGAAAATAGTAAAATTAATAAAGGAAATCAAAATTAAATTAAAGTAAATTAAAATCATTATTTTATAATAAATTAATATAAAATATTTGTAATAACAAATTTATAAATTTTCATTAAGAGAGACCTTTTTTGTTGATAGAAGATCTAAAGAATAATCAAACAATTAAAATCAAATAAAAAATTTTCAACTTTATTAATTTATTTTTTCAAGCTGAATATTTTAGCATTGAATTTTTTTAAATTTAGTTTCAATAAATTTGAAATTAATCTATTTTCATTTTCTATTGCTTGCTATTGATTTGCAGAGAATAAAAAGATATTTTAAAATTGAAATAATTAGATAAATATTTATTTATTAAAAAGAGGAGGATTTATTTATTTTAGATATATTTTGATATTTTGCCTGATCTTGTTTTGGTTTTGGTTTTTAATAATATTATACTGAGTAAATAAAGGATAAACAGAGTGACAAATCAATCGATTTAATTAGAGGAAATAGACAAAGTAAATAGAAAAGTTAACAATAGTAAAAAATATTAATAAGAAAAGGTGAAGGAATTAAAAATATCCTCTGAAAAAGAAATAGATAAATTTAATTCATGTAACTATGTTTTTGCATTTAATTATAAGCTTAATTTTTGCGTTTACATAAATTTTTTTACTTTTAATATAAGCGAGTATTTAGCTAGATATAATGCTGAAAATTCTTAGATTTGAATTTAAAGTGATCGTTAGATATAATTTCGCTTACTATTTTTTATTGTTCTACAAATATTCTTTAAAAATACATTCATACATACATATATATATATAAATATAGATAGATTTAATTTTAGTTTATTTTAGGATTGTTTTGTTTGGAATCATAATCTATTTATAATCAAAGAATCAAGAGAGAGAAAGAGAGAATATTCAAATCTGATAAAAAGTAATTTGATAAATCTTAAATTTAATATCTAATAACATTAAACAAAATTTGTTTTTCTTGGAGAGGTATTTTCTTTCTAATTAGACTATTTTTTCAAAATCAAAGCTTTTTTTGCAAATATTTTAATAAAATGTGCTGTTTAAAGTGAGAAATTCTAAATAGAAAATTACCAAATCAAAAAACAAACAATCATTTTTTTATTTTTATTATATAAAAATATTAAATCGAATATGGCCAAGTTTAATTAGATATTTGTTAATTATTTTATAGATGAATTTTAATTTTTTTATTAACATGAATGTAATTTTTTTGTTTGTTTGTTTGTTTGATGCTGGCTGATAAAAATAAATTTAGAAATCATAAAGCAATGAATCAAGGAGACATGCAAGTTGGTTCGTAGGCGTATGCGTAAATGAAATTTCAATTTGAAGTCGTAAGCGAAATGCATAGCCAAAGGTTAAGCGACTCAATCTTGTAATTGAAAAAGTCAAGCAAGCAACAAATGTGAAAGAAAAGGAACAAAAAATTGAATAGAAATTTACATTAAATGTTTTTGATATTTGTAAAGAAAAAGAAAGAAAATGATCAAATTAGTTAAGAAATTTAATAAGCGGAAAAGGAAAATAGTGATAAATAAATAAATAAATTAATTAATTAATTAAAAATTTTGATTTATTTTTGAAAAAGAGCTAATAGAAAAGTAAAAAAAATATATAAACAACAAAAACAGCAAAAAAATAAACACGGCCTTTCTTTATTTCTTTCATTCCAATTCACACACTCTTTCTCTTATCAAGATAGACTTTAAGCTAGTTCGAAGGACATATTTATTCTTATAAAATTAGATAAACAATTAGAAACTTAAAAAGGCAATTTAGGATTTTGAAAAAAGCAGACAACTTTACTGACTTCGATTGACATACATCCAACAACGAAAAATAACCAAATAGTTTTAGAACAAATTACGAAAGTTCAAAGTAAAAGGGAAAAAAGCGAGTGAAAAAGAGAACAAATTTAGTTCCTGATAAGTAAAAAAGACGACATAGTCAACTAAGAAAAAAATAGTAAGATAAATAAAAGTAAAATAAATGAACGGCGGCGCTAGTGACGGTATTGCTAAAGTTAAAATCCTAACATTAGGTGAATCAGGTGTAGGAAAATCTTCGTTGTTACTTAGATACAAAGACGACAAATTCGCAGGAAACTTCGTTACAACTCTTGGAGTTGAATATAAATAAAAGCAGATTCAAATTGAAAATATTCCTCTTACAGTCTAAGTTTGGGATACTGCTGGTTAAGAACGTTTTAAGACAATAACTCCAAATTACTACAGGTCAGTCGACGGTGCTCTTCTTGTTTTTGATATTTCAGAGTTAGAAACCTTCGACAAAATCGAATACTGGATCTAAGATCTACAGAAAGATGCTGACCTCACAAAAGTAATTATGGTTTTAGTAGGCAATAAGAGTGATTTAGAAGAAAAAAGAAAAGTAGATTTTTAGACTGCCCAAAAAAAGGCTTAGGAATATTAAATAGAATACATAGAAACTTCAGCCAAAACCAATTCAAATGTTGATCAAGTTTTTGAAATGATTGTTAGAAAAGTTATAGATAAAAAAGGCGGCATTGAAAAATTTAAAGCTCAATATTAAGAATAAATCGCATAAAACCTTAACTTAAAGAAAGCTAACACTTCCAATGGTGCTTCTGGATCCAATAAAAACAAATAAAACAACAACAATGGTGGCTGTTGTTGATTTTTCATAATTAATTCAACCTACTAATTATTATCTTGTATTTTTCAAAGAAAAATTCTCAACTCTCTTTCTCATTTCTCATTTTACTAGTGGTTCAAATTGCATAGTCTTAATTCAAGAGCTCAGTCACACGAAACACAATCTTCAAATGTGTTTTAATTAATCCACATAGCTCTACTCAACAAATAAGCTTATTATCAATTATATTAAGACACCCAAATTAACCTCTAATTAATGAATAAATGAACAAACAAATAAATATATTTATTAGCATAGCAAGCAAAAAAATTGTTTGAATATAATATTCTATAAGTAATCCTAATAATAATCGCAAATGAACAAGAAACAATAAAAAATAATCAATAACTAACTATCTATTTCTATCGTGATTTATCCTTTCGATTGATTGATTGACTCTTAAATTTATATTTATGTTTACAAAAACTGACTATTTTAAATACTTAAATATTTTTTACAATATGCATTCAAAATAATAAATAATAAAAAATAAATAAATAAAAAATAATAATAATATAAAATAAAATAAGTAAATATTATAATTTATAGGTATTAAAAGGCTTTAAATTATAAATCAACTAAATATTCCTTTAATATAATTTATTGATTATTATATATATTTATCTATTAACATCAAAATCAGTACGTACCAAACATTTTATCTTATTAAAATTAATTTAAGTTTATCTTTAATATCAATATTTTAAATAGGTTCAAATAAATATCTTTCAACTTTACCTATCACATACAATTTTTAAAGTTAATTTATGACTTTATCCAAATTTCCAAATATATAATATTAACTTCTAATTAATTAACACAATCTTTCTATTTTTAAATTCATTCATAGACAAAAAACATTTTTTTATTTTTTATTCTTATAAAATTTGATAAGATCACATTTATGCTATATATTTACTCTTTAAAAAATAACTTATTTACTAATTTTTGCGTTTTTTGAAGTTGAGCATTTACATTTCAAGATTGTTTTTGATTAAAAAAATATTATTATTTGTAAAAATTTAACAAATTAAATTTAGTTTTTAATTATTTAAAATGAATTTTAAAGATTTATTAAAATTGGAGTTTATATAATATAAATATTATATACCTCAATTTTGGATCAAAGTTTGAGCATATGAACTTATTAGATAACAGGATAAATTTTTGACGATTTAATTATCCTTGTTCTTCAAACTGTTTAGGTCATTCGAGGAACGAGTAGTCGAAGATTTATGGTATATATAATTAAGAATAATATTTTGAGCATTAATTAAAATTTTATGATTGATCTAGTTCTAAGTGAATATTTCATTTATTTAATAATAACAATTTTTTTTTATTTTGGCCAACCGCTCAATTCAGTCAACTAAAAAATTAAAAAAACCTGCTCTTTTTTCAAGAGAGCTAATCCACTCAACTTTTTTCTAATGAATTAATAAGTATATAATTTGATTTATGTAAAAAATGAAGCTAAAAAATATTACAAAAATTTTACTCTAAACAAAAAATTCATTAATTCAGATGAAACTTTTTTGTTTAATTATTTATCATTAATTTTTACCAAATTTATTTATGATATCTCAATCAAAGTTTTTTTGATTGACTTCAAAAATATTTGTTTTTAAATAAATAGCTAAATTTTATGAGTAATTAGATGAAATACAGAGCAAAAAAGGAATAATAAATAAATAAATATATTTAATAATTATTGAAAAACAATTAATTAAATTAAAAAATAAACGATATCAGAAAATGAAAGTTTACTAATTGGTTTTGCTAGTGTTAGTTTTAGTATTTGGAGCTGCTTAATTGAAGAGCATTTATGAAAAAATAACATTTGTTTAATAAATTACATGCACTAAACAAGGTTATACATGCCAAAATAATGATGAGTGTTGTGGAAAGAATCCTCGTTGCGTTGAATTAGAGTCATAAGGATTTTGTTTTAATGATGATGATGATGATGACGTTTAATGAATCAATAAATTATAAATTAATTAATAAATTAATTATTGAGCTAAAAAAATATCTACACTTTTTTGTTTATGTTAAATACAACAAGCACTCGATAAATAATCAAACTCATTTTTTTATATTATAATTATATTTGGTCTACTTATTGTTTCATCCAATACTTTATTAACAAAAAACACACTTAGTTATAAAAAAATTATAATGTGAAAAGATAAATATATGTTTTCGATTTGTTTTCATTAAAGTCGGATTTATTATTGGATTAAATTTAATAATAAACTAAAACCATCCATTCAGATTATAAATACAAATTTAAAAAAAGCAAAAAATTAATGAGTATATCAAAATCTAATATTCATGCATAAATTATATTATAATGACGGATTTTATTTGTAAATAAAGCAAATCCTAATTAAGACTACAAATAGAAATTAACAAAAGAAGGATAAAGAGATTTTTTCTATTATGAAATTTAGACATTTTTATTCTTATTTAAAACCTCAATTTTTTTTTGAGCTCTAAGGTAATTCAAAGCTTAATTTAAAAAATAAAAATATTTCTAATTTAAATTAAATATTGCTCTTGTAGAAATTAAAATATCATCAACTATATTGGTACAGATTGTGATATTTCATTTAATTTTTATGATTTTTAGCTAATTTTACTCATTCTTTTTTATAATTGTTCCTCCTCCTTCTTAAAATATTCGTTTCATATGAGGAACAACAAGTAATCGAAGATTTATGGTATTTATAATTAAGAATAATATTTTGAGCTTTAATTAAAATTTTATGATTTATTCAATTCTTAGTGAATATTTCATTTATTTTATTAATTTTTTTTATTTTATTTAAGACTCAATTAAGTCAACCAAAAAATTAAAAAATCTACTCTTTTTTCAAGATAGCTCATTGAATTATCTTTTTTCTAATTAATTAATAAGTATACAAATTGATATTTGTAAAAAAGAAACTAAAAAATATTACAGAAATTTTACTCTTAATTCTAAATTCATTAATTCAGATTAAACTTTTATGTATAAATAAAAATATATTTATTTATCTTTAATTTTTACCAAATTTATTTATGATATCTAAATCAAAATTTTTTTGATTGACTTCAAAAATATTTGTTTTTATGTTAATATCCTCATATAATCTATTTTTGATAATAAGTAGCTAAATTTTTATGAGTAATTAGATGAAATACGGAGCAAAAAAGGAATAATAAATAAATAAATATATTTAATAATTATTGAAAAACAAATAATAAAATTAAAAAATAAAAGATATCAGAAAATGAAAGTTTACTAATTGGTTTTGCTAGTGTTAGTTTTAGTATTTGGAGCAGCTTAATTGAAGAGCATTTATGAAAAAATAACATTTGTTTAATAAATTACATGCACTAAACAAGGTTATAGATGCCAAAATAATGATGAGTGTTGTGGAAAGAATCCTCGTTGCGTTGAATTAGAGTCATAAGGATTTTGTTTTAATGATGATGATGACGTTTAATGAATCAATAAATTATAAATTAATTAAAGAATTAATTATTGAGCTAAAAAAATATCTACA